ATAGTCGTCATTAAAGTCATTTGTATTTCGCCAGGATCCTGAAACTGGTTAGCACCTCCACAAAGTGACAGGTATATATAGTAAAGGAAGTTGCATACGTTATCCGGATTTGTTGTTGCTTTTCTATTGTTTGCCGTTGATGAACATCACTTCGAATAAGCACATGAATGAATGAGTTCAACGGATAGAAAACGATCTGTGTCACCCCAAGATCAAAATCGTTCTTTAGATTTATACCGACACCACAAAATAGCATCAATTTTCTCGTTATTATTTTTATTAACATTGGGTACTGTCACTTACATATTGTTATTATTGTCAAAACCGGACACTGATACCGGATGGTATTCGGATGCTATCCATATATTATTATTATTATTTTTTAACCATTATTATATTAATGTTCGTTGACTGAGCCATAACTAGAATTATTCACATTTAGTAATTTTAACACGTACGAGAGAAATGTGACATTGATCAAGAGTATTGATGAATGTTTTCGGTCTGTCTATCCTAAGGACTCACCTCATGGCTTCAAAAACGCGGGACATCAAACATATAAGAATATGCTGGGGTTTAAAGAATGCTATGTTCAACCCTCCATTACTATAGTAATAATAATAATAATAACAGTAGTTCAGCTGTTTGACGTTCATTCAATGAAGCAGTATTTTATCCATCGTTCCTTATATAATTCATACCCCCCTCCCCACGTTAAGCTGCCCTCTAATGCGAATAAAAGTTGTCGTTTGTGCCAATATTCGCCTCGCGTCCTCTGGAGACACTAAGCAGCCCGTTGTCACAACCAATCAGGAATAGAACTATTCAAAGATGTGGATGCTCCACCTGTTGCCAATAATATGACAGCCGTTGTGAAGCGTTATTGCACCTCGTACATGTGCAAACTGTTTACGTGCGTAGGCAAGTCTTTCTCTTATTTAGCAGGTTGTCAGCCTAGAATAAAATCAATCATTTGTATTGTTGTTTGGATGCATTAGACTATTTTACTTTACGCCTCTCGTTTATGATATGAGGTATGTCATCGTATGCCACCACAACAACTTAGATCTTTTCTAATGTGCTATCTTTTTTTTTATTTACATAAAAGGTATGCATAGTATTACACAATATATCGTTCAAATCCACAACTTTAAGAGGCAGTATGTAGCACTTTAACTCCAGATGTTAAAAAAATAATCGCTAAAAAAATGCGCAATTTGCCTGCCCATTTATTTACCACTTTAGCCATCTCCGTGTTCCGAAAACCCTAAATCTCAAGACACAGAAGACGCAGTGAAGGGAAGCGTGTTCGAATGTTCAGTGTTGTTCGCGGTAAGTCGATTTGATCACTTGATTAGGTACTGGGGCGCTTTTGGCGTGTTTGCTGATTAATGCCCCGGCAAGATAGGTGACACCCACTTCAGCCTCGATCAGCCCTCAGAGTGAAAGTAAGGCAACTCCGAAGCATAGGTGTGAGGGGTGGAGAGGAGGTGGGATAAACCGATGTTTCTCCGGACTGTTTCTTACGGTTCATGTTGTCCGCTTGTACTGGTGCCTTTGATGATGAACTGAGCGAGGAGGAGCTATGCCCACTGGGCCATTTGTCTATCGCATTCTCGACGACTTAACACGATTGACTCACTGAATTCGAGGTTGGTCTAGCGTTGCGTTACTGTGTAGAAGGCCTGTACTTCGGAGTCGGAGCAGGAGGGTAAGCGGTTTTCGGGTCGCTCTCGCCACTGCCGCCGTCATCATCATCATCATCATCATCGTCGTCGTCGTCGTCGTCGTCGTCGTCATCGTCATTTCCTCTGCTTCACTCATTGAGCGAACGAGGAGACGATGGGGACTGACTACAACGGAATTGAGTGGGAGCACTGTTTCGATTTTCTGCCCTCATGCCAATGGCTAAGGAAGACGGGGTGATGTAGGTTAATTCGGGGGAGCGTAAAAGACCCTCAACTGAATGGAGCAGTGAAGCGAGGAAGCGACAACTACCGTATACCTACCTATTTAGGGTGAGACACGAGATTGAAGCAGTGGATAGCACAGCCGGGACTAGACAGTAGACTTCGCAGACCGAACCTGTCTGAGCTGATTAAAACAGATACCCACGCGCTACCAGGATTGCCCACTCTGTTCCGCAGTCATTCCGTACATTCAAGGGGGCAAGCCCGAAAGATAGCGAAAGCCACCCATCAGCCACAAAAAAGATTTTTTTACTGCTAGACACAGCCGTTAGTTGAGGTTGATAGGCTGTTACTGGTAATGGTGATTGCCATTTTTAAAACCTTACACTTTACTGACCTGTTTGAGTCGGCAAGCGACAACAAAATGAATGATTACATTATGGTTGGAATAATATTTATTCGTTATAATTATTTTAGCATGCTAATACGGCGTAGCGAATTACTATAAAGGTTAGGCCTTTGACCACGTTGTCGTGATACTTTTCACCATCTTAACAATAGAGATTAGAATAAGAACAACTCTTGGACGATCTAACATTATGTTACTAACGGTAGCAAACGTCAAAGCTAGTTAAAACCAAGAAAGTAATAGTGAAACAAATAAGCAGCCATAGTGAAAAATTCGACTTGTTAAAAATGGGTTACTATGATTACAAATATGTCCGCACACAACTTTTTTTTGCCTTGAGTCACTCTTTGTAGATTTACGTAAATGAGAAATGTTAATGTATTGTAGCAATTCGCCAATGAAACGAACTTGAATAAGTGCGAGGAACCAACTTTTTACGGCGGAGATCACCTGCGAAACCCATGCGCACTCCTTGCTTTTTCTTGGCTTTCCGCATTGGCGTTGAGCTGAGCTAAGTAGGGAGTCTGTCGCCCTGTCCTGTGGGATCAGTGATTTATGCTGCTTTCCACAAAAGGGGCTTAAGTTGCAAGGGTACGGGTAGTTCAAGCTCGGAAACAAGCAAAAAGTAGTACAATTTAGACACAAGAAACAAGATCTGCTTGCCACAGGCTTTTGGAGTGAAGGAGAAGCGTTGGTCGGGAAGCAACGTTGATATGTGACACTAATTAGAATAAACGAAACAGATTACTTTATACTGCGGCAAAAGACCGGCGACAAATAAAGGGGGAAATTCACTACAGCTCCGAAGTGGATGGGTGCACCGGTCACGGTGGGGGGTGGTGGCTGAAAGGAAGTTGTTTCCTGCTTGATGTGAGCTGACATGAAATAGATGCTGCTATGCAAGAAGCCAATAGAAAGCGTTTTAACGCATTTAACAGCATCGGCAGGTTCAGTTTTCTTACCTTGAAATTTTGTCGTTAATTTATCATTTGTCAGTTTCGGTATCTGGCTTTAAAATGTCATATCCCTAGAAAATTAGTTTATGAGAAATCCTAGCTCGTAAGGTTCAGCCTAAACCCAGTAGATACACGCTCCGTTTAGCCATGATCAGTGTTACTTAAGTCGACGCTTCACTATTTACTGTTTGTTATTTTAGCACTATTTGTCGGCATTTATTAACAGGAAGTGGACAAAGAACAACAGGAACCTCTGTGAGTGTAGCCGTTATAGCATCTCGATCTAGCGAACTTCAGCTTGTTATTGTTTTGGGTTTACCGGTGTTGCAGAACATTATTTCAGCCGGCCTATCTACTGCGCCCTAATGTTTGTTTACAGCTTTCCTGTTCTCGAGCGGGATCCGAATGGATCCTGCAGACCAGTCAATGCAACTCCGGTTTGGTCGTGGTGCACTACAACTATTACTGTATTACTTACGAGTGCAGAGTGGGGTCACTATCGTAAACGTGGGATAACACTATGCGCAGTACAAACTCTACCCGGAAAAAAACATTACTACGCGGAATTGTGCATTTCGTAAAGTCTCTCTAGAAGTCAGTAAGTGCAGCAGCACTCGCGTTTATGTATGAAGTCGCTTACGGAATTTTTGTTCAACTCTTTGCAATCAGCGTACTTCACTCAACGACGCATATCAATGACGCTTGTCTGATAGGTTTGTCTCTAATAGTGGGTTGATATGGAGGTAGATAAGCTTGTTTACTCTATTGATTTCAGCAGAGCGTTTGCTTATTTTTGACCAGCGAGATGGACTATTTTCATTGAACGTTATGGATGTCACAACGGATTTCTTCACATGCGTTTCATGCCCGTTATCAAGCAGAAGCACAAATTGAGAAATGACTCGATCTAAAATTCATATGGATATGTGTAACAGTGGTCATAGTACGGTTACGTCTATACATATATCCTGATACGCTGCAACGCAGCCTTACTCAGTACCTGCCTTCATATATTGGATTTGTGCAGTAGAGGAACAGTTACAGTGGTTTCTCTAGTAGTGGTGCTGATGCCTTAGCTTGGCAGCTGAGCGCCTATGCGAAATGGATCCATAGATACTGTGGGTCGACCCATTGGTTCAAGCGAACCAAAGTACGAGGGCAAATGGAACGTAGGAGGGACTGGACCCGTTTGAGTAATGGAGGTGTTTTGTACCCTGCCAGAGTAGAAGACTCTCTATCCCATCCAACTAGCAGAGTAGGAATGGAGCATGCAGGCTGGGGGCGGTGACGGGGTCATCCTAAAGAGCCTACGTTCATCCGTTGCGAGAGGGGATTCGGGACTAGGGGAATGGGAATAAGACGGCCGGTGTTTCGTCGAGGTAGTAATTAACTTAAGATGCTAGGGAGAACACGACCGCTGACCAAGATGAATGGCGTTGTACAGCGCCAACGATGGAAATGTGCGCATTTGTCCTATCCTACACGTTATCTGATCTCTGTTGTTTACTGCTGAACGTAGCTTTGCATATTTATAAAACGAAAGAATCCTAGCTTCAGCAGTAGTAAAAGCACTATGGTTACATGATCGATGTGTATTCCAATCAAATCAGTGGAACGAAATAATTTCATGTATACAATTCAGCATGTTTTAATGGCTATAGATATAAATATTCATATAAACTAGTCCAGTGAACTAAATTTTATCTTTATTTTCATGGTCTACAGGTGTAAGCCGTGGATTTATGTCGATCTGTTTAAATCGAACAACCAACATGTGGTGACCGCAGAAGGACAGAATCAAGCGGCATCAGCAGCAACAGTGCAAGTTGCCAAGAAGGTACTAACTACAGGAAGTGTGCCTTTGGATCAGCTGGCCGGCCAGCTTGTAACGGGGTCTGGTCAGGGTACACTGCTAAGCCTGGGCTGCTCCGAGGGTCAAGTACCGTGTATTAGTCAACAGCTAACTTCGTCAGTATTTCCTTCACTCGGTAGCCCGTCGCAAGTTGTACCATCGGAGTGCACCGGGGGACACGGCCCTCATTCGCCGTTTACGCAGCCAGCTAGCCCCCCGCTTGCGAGTACGCCCCCCGCCGAAGCTTCGTGCGGGGGTTCTTCACCAACCACTACTGGCCTTTGCGCATTAGCTGCGTCCCCTGCAACTGCCACCTGCTGTTCACAAGGGCCAATCCCTGCTGTTCCCCCAACGGCGCATATGACGTGCAGCGTCGTCCAACTAAATGGGTCGTTTTGTTGTCAGGAAATGAATCAATGCGACGGACACTGCCCGTCACTCAGTTGCGGCGCGCCCACCGTACCGAGCACCGTGTCGGACTCGGGTCCAGCCTCGGCCACCAGTGTCCTTGTACCGAATTACGCTATAGTAAGCCAACACCAACCCTCTCAACAGCCTCCTCCACCTCCCCTAAGCTATTCAGGCGTCGGGCACTATTTACCATCCGTGACGTTGTCGCAGGCGGCTTACGCTGGTTCTCCAGCCTGTTCGACCTCGTCGTCATCAGCAACCTCGCGTAGCGTGTGTGGCACTCCGACGCCTTCGGTTGTATCTTCCTGCTCAGAACCATCAATTACGGCGCGTTCTAGGGCCGAGTCAACGTCCACAACGAGAAGTGAAGGCGATCAACATGCGGAGCAACCAAATCACCCTAAGCAAGAAAAGCGAACCGTTAATATCAAACAGGAGCCTTCAAGCGATTCCACCGCCCCAACTCAAGAGACACGAAAGGCTAAGCGCAGGACTCGTAATAATGGCCAGAACTCGATTGATAATGAGCGACTGCAAGACAGAAGACAACGACAGGCTAAGAAAGCCCGTCTAGCGAGGTATGTTTAGTTGCAGCCTATTTTGATGTGCACATGTTCGAGCATGGATGTACTAGACGCTCAGAGACCCCAGTCAATATAAAGCTAACCACGAAATGACAAGCAGAAGCAGGCTGGCAGCAAATTTTTAAAATCTAAAACGGCAATATCAGTTCGAAGAGTTCTTCGTTAAACAATAGGCATGCATGAATCAAACTTTATATTTGCACGTTCCAGGCAACGCGAGTCTCCTGAACAACGTAAAAAGCGTCTAGAAAAATTAGCTGCATATGCAGCAAAACGACGAGCCACTGAAACACCTGAAGAGCGTGAGAAGCGATTACAAGATATGCGCACTCGACAAAAGGAGCGCGTTCGCCGGAAAAAACTGCTACAACAGCACCAGCAGCAACAAGATCAACAGCCACTGCCACCTCCGTCACAGCAACAGCAGGAAACGCCGCAGAGAGCTCAGCAGCGAGCACAGCAGCAATTGCAAGCTGTGCAACAAGCAACGTCGCAACACCAGCAGCAGGAGCAGCCAACGCAGCAGCAGGTAAATAGCAATCCAATGCAGCTAAACATCGTCCCGCCTGGAATTCCACTCCCAACAACTGTTGCCCCACTACAATCCCCACTTGAAACAATGTTGCGTTTAGAGCAGTTCGGCTTATTGTGTCCGGAACAGCGGCATCCAGGCTCCAGTGGCAACATGGCCTAAGTAGGAAAAGCCCCTAACAACAACCTGCGAAGCTAGTGTCTTCAATATTATCATGTAAAGATATCTTCATTAATTAATGACTCTAAATTCATTCACGAATTTTAATTGCGCCCCTTAATATTGATCATATCCACGTGACTGCATCGTTGGATTGCTGCATCCACTAGGTTGGTGCGTAAGTAATGGCCTTTTTTGTTTGTAGAGCATTATTTGGTTTCGTTTGTTGAGACTACAAAATTTCTTGAGCTCTAGATATTTCTGACATAAAGCAGTATCTTCGGAATGTAACCTCTCTCATACTTTTCCGATATCAAAAAGCCACCGAAGCAGTTCAGACTAATTTATCCCGTACGGTCAGCGTTCTATAGCCAGGTTAATTTAACAGTTATGCTGCATGAATAAAGGAGCTGATGATTATCCTCGACGAACTCCACAAGTCAAATGCATTTCTTACCTTGTCAAAACCATTCTTGAACCTTTCGTCTCACCTGTGAGTGGTATTTTAAGCTATAGGAGCTTTGCCGTGCGCGTCGCACAGGTCTTGAAGAAATAACTTTTTAGAGCTGAAGACGCTGTTCTGAGTTATAAAACGCTGGACAATCAGCACAAGAAATACAAAAAAGTTATGAACAAAGATGGCCATTTCGTGTGCGCTAATCTAATAGCCTTTTGCGGGCGACAACATCAGGGTATTAGAGCTCTACTTGTATAAGCATGAATGTCATCCAACTCTTTTGTATATTGCGATCTTATAGGCTAGTACTAAATATTGATAAGAGTATGTTTTTACCAAAAAAAAAGTGTACGAAAATAAATACATTAAGAAGTTACAGGTAGCATTATCGTAGGTCATATTTGCTATTTGCAGGGTCGTTTCCTTTCTATTTGGGGGCAGTCAATTTGTGGATACTGCCAACATATCGAAAAAAAATTGTACTCAGTTTTATAAAAAAACAAAAAGTTTATAAATATTTAATTCTACTGCTAACGGAAAGGCATTGCTACGACACATGCATTTGTGAATATTATCTAGGTAGCGGTACTTTTAAATCTTAACTTTCAATTCTTAAAGGTTTCAGAAGCGCTACTTTAGCTTGTATTGCCAAGTTGCGTTTAAAGAATCTCTACTACAAGCTATTTTCGTCTTCTCGTAACTCAGCCTAAATTAGAATCAGACACTGCAGTGTGTTCCACTTAGTTTGGTACCTTACTAGAAAAAGTCGACGGTTGATCAGTTCAAGCCAGATAAGCTTTATTCAGTGAGTCACTTTGCCACATGCATCCAATATTTACAACAAGTTTTTTTTTTTTAATTAATTGTCCATCTTGTGGTCACATGGCTATACATTTTCACGTTTTATTATTATTATTACATACCATCGTAGAAGGATAGAGAGATGGGTAAGTTTTTCTAATAAGAGCTATGGCTCGTGCTAATTCGCTGTTGCATTTAACCATAGTTGAATCGACGAGGGATCTGCCGAACATACAATGACACAATTCAGTTTTAGTCACACGCAGGCTATCCAAGTAACTGTTATAAAGTGAGTAACGACTATCCGAAATAAAGAGCACGAGTTAATGCTAACCCATGCATTTGACTTAATTATTTCTATCATGGCATGATGTTTTAAAAACTCATCGCATGATGAGCTGCTGGCTGAGTCTTATTTTAACACCTATGCGATTAAACCTCGTTCTGAGCTAAGATTCACGCCATCCTCCGTCGGAGGTTTCAGTTAGAACATGTTGTTGTCTACTATAGCATATAATGCTTTCATTTTCGATCTAATAGTTTACCTATAGTAAACAGCAGCTCCAGTCCGCTCTGCCTTATTACTTCAATTGCTTTACCATTTAATAATTCTCAAATTCGGACCAGGATATTAATACTGATATAGGCTTTATTTAACAAAACAAATCCGAATTTGAGTTTTAAATACAGAGTACATGTTTGAAGAGAATTCAGCAGGTAAAATTGCCCATAAAACGCAATCGTTCGTTTCTTTTCATTGTGCGTCTCCAATAAGTCACACATTACCTTCCGCTGAATTACCAAAGAAGCCTGTAGTTAATTTCGAATAATCTATCACTTAACATGCCGTTGGTATGAATATTTTTATGTTCAAGCTTTAAATGTAAAAAAGTCAGATGCTAATGGCACTTTATTTTAAAACAACATACATGAAAAACGCATCTCTCTTTATAAGCCGTAAAAAAAGTTTGTCATTTCCTTGATAAAAATGAGCAATACTTTACCATTCGCATTTTGTGTTTATTCTAGGCGTTGTGCCAAATTTTTCTATTGGAAAGTGCACCTTAATTCCTCAAAATGTTTGCTGAATTTAGGTCTGTAAAATTTGGATAGCTAAACAGCTTTCTCTTTAAATTTTCTTTGATACTAACTTGCTTTAACTTCTAATCGCTCAAGTTACATCGAAATGATTCTAGAACGCTTTCGCTTCCCTTATGCACTACTTCATAGCTGAAAGAGGATTACCTTATTGGATCACGAGTATACATGCGCAAAAAAATTTACATTACTTTCAAATTTCAATTTACTTACAAACAGACGGATATTAAAACCAATATTTTAGTGAAGAGCTAACAGGGAGATCTATAAGTAATCTGCCAAGGCAGCGAATCTTGAAGATACCGACATTTGAGCACGTTATCCTGAAGACTCGTCGTCCTACAATGTTATTATGATCTTTATTACGATATTTTAACATATAACATATTATGGCAACAAATAAAGTGAACCTGTATTCGTAATACGGACTCTTGTATATCACTGCCCCGTTTTTCACAAGTTGGGTCGGCGCTGATATTTTTCGAACGTGTTCCTTCTCTGTGAACCAGATTAACTTTCTTCGAAGTGATTCATTGACCACGTTTAGTAGCAAAGATAATTCTTATCTTATAACGCCTCGACATAGAGTCAGAAGCATCGTTGATAACTGACATTTTTTCTCTGCTCAATTTTCGTAAACATGCAATGTGCATTATGACAGGTAACTTGTTTTAACATGCACTTCGTTTACTTTAGCCGTAATGTATATTCTCAGGATTCGGTTTGTGTGGTTCCTTTCTGCATGGCCACGAGTGCCAAGAAACTGATATTTAATTTTCTCGATGAGGTATTAGATGTTGCTTTGTCAGGCTATCTCTACAAGAAGGTAATCAAAGTATAGTCGGATGACGTTCAGTGACTTCTTACTGCTTGATCGTGCAAGCCAATTCCACTCGATTGCGGCCTCCTTAAAGATCGGTTGATACTGACAAGCATCTTTAGTAGGCGAGTCCTCCGCTGTCATTTTCGCCTCGATTTAAGCGCGATCACCTCGTTATCATCGCTTTTGTATCATTGTCGTTAAGCCAGTGACAGAAAAAGGCTGTTCTCCACATATGATCCAACCGTATCCTTAGAGCAAGATCAGATTTAGTCTTGGTGTGCCTTGCAAACCCCGTGCAGAAGCTCATCAAGGCCGGATGTCTTCGACGATCAGGTCGACCCTGATAACGCCTAAACTAAACGCATGATATATTGATACATCGATAACGTAGCCGACGTACACATATAAGAAGGCCTGATTTCGCAAGTAATGTTTCTAATTGTTATTTGATTACCCTTCACCAAGACTGCGAGTGGTGAAGTACTGTATCAGATTATTGCTCGTTTTGGCTACTGTTTTTTGTTCATACATATTTATGTACGAGCAGCTGATGACTTGAATACTTCGGCAACGTACTAAGACTAAAAGGTTGAACTAATGGAGATAAAGGTTAGATCTTTATGTCACCAAACGGAGATCGAAAAAGCAGTATTCTAGCAGTTGTATCGAAAGAAAAATCCAAAATGTATTTTGGCACCGTACTTCGCAGATATCCTAATATTATAAGATAGATAATACAGGAAGCGGACATTCAGTTGCTCTGTTGAAATGCGCAATTACTGTGTTCTTATAAATGTATGTAAAAAAAAAAACTGCATTATATATTAATGGAAATGCCAACGCTCTATAATAAAGAAAAGATAAGTAGTCTCTTATATCAGAACGTAAATAAACATTTTTTTAATAACTTCTCGCAGAGAAGTATTATTTTAGTACAACACGTATCTCCTGGATGTTGGAGGCACTTGCCTTGTGCTTACATTTTATAAACTGTTATGTTTATTAGAGCAATATTGGTTTCTCACTGAAGAAAAATACAGAACTAGTCTAACTAGAATGTGAGCTCTTTCGTGCAGAACTGATGGAATTTAATTATTTATGTAACCTAGCAACCTGAAAATCACGGTTCTTTTAAAGTAATCAGCGAATTTCAATTTGTGATATTTAAGCTTCTGCAATAGAAAACGCTTACTAGCTGCATGCCAAATGTTCATATATAACAGGCGAGAGAGGCAGAGATGAGTAAAGCGTAAATATTTGGAAGAATTCTAGACTGGGAATTTAGTCAGCATGAATCTTAACGGTATACCTATCTAACTGGCGGTCCGTTTTTCTGTAACAAATTTATGTTTCTTTTAAACAAAGCTTCTTCCGCCACTTGCTCTATTATTGCAATCAGCTTTCATCAAGCGTGAACAGTAGACAAATCTTTACATCACTATAAGTTTCCAAAAGTAAATATAATTAGCAGCTTTCTGTACTAAAGCAGGGTCGGTCTTCCCTAAATTCTCCGCCTACGCAAAATAAGCATTCTTCTGTATAGCTAGCCTAAATGAAAAGCTAATCCTAGTTTTATGACGAGCAATGGCTATCGGGCAGCACGCTTGATGAAAATAAATGAGTCATATTGGACCCACTTGATTGGCTGTTGTACGCAGACGTACGACAACCCAACGTGGCACCACTTTGGGCCTCAGTCTCCTTTGGTAACCAGAGTTTTTGTATTAAGTACAACCCCTTCAAAGACAAGTCTGTGAGTGTAAGTCACACTTGTTACATGGGTGAGGCCTGTTTCTCTTATTTGTGCTACTAACAGCCTTTGTGACTGACAAAGACGCAAATTGATGACGACAATATATCTATTTAGGCTACTCGAGTGTGTACGATACATCCCACACATGTTTTTTTCATACTAATTATTCAATAAAAGAAGTGCCGCCAGGTAAGTATTGGATTCCCTTATCTAAATACTGCATGACTTGAGGAGTGTTTTCTTAAAACACTATCTATTAATGGAGGTAATTTAGCTAAGCAAACTATTTGTAATAACGGTTCCAGGTAGCTCGGACCCTAACAGGAAGAGGATGAAATGCAATACGCGTATTGACTTAGTCTTGTGAATCGAAATCTATTGCATATTGCTAACAAATAAATTACGTTTATATTATGTAATAAGTTAAATTGGGTAATCGTTATCCTCATCTTAAAAACGTACTTAAGTCTGGCAAATGTAAAGGGACTCCTTTCATGCAAATAGTTTAGGTTGAAGGACTCTGCTGTTGTTTCATATGCTGAACATATTTCAATATCCACACATATGATGGAGCACCAACTCCAACTCCAACTCCATTTTCGAAAGAAAACGTTTCGGATGATGTATGGCGCCCATAGTCAGCTTATATATGTATTAGAAAGAGGGATCTATATAAAAGAAAGAAAGTTATTTACGAGTTAAGCATGTTCCTGGATCCTCCTAGTGTTGCAGGCGGAGTCGCTTGTATGATTTGGCCGTACTAATTACTCATATTTGCCTTTTTCGAGAGAAATCTCGCATGTATTAAGAAGGAATAGGCAAAATAGCTCGGCGGTCGTTCGTCGTAAGAATAGAAGCGTCATCAATATTTAATTTAAGTAAACTGTAGGGAAAACTGTATGAGTCAAAGGAAGTTCACAGGGAGCAACTTCTGGTGAAATATTAACGTATACGATGGTAAGACTGCGTTGGTAACGTGTTGGAGACGATGGATTTGTCAACGTCAGATGGGATACTGTCCACAATGAGTTCTTCTCTTTCTAAAAAAGGAAGCAGTTGATAGAACGGACGTTTGTGCCGAATTAACAGCCTAACGTAAGATGACTTATAGTAAACGTGCATGGTAAATAGAAATGAGCTTTCTATTTTTTATCCAAATACAATTACAGATACACTATGTGTATATGCAGTAGATAATAGTATATTGAATATTACCTTCGCAAATTAAAGCACATGGAGTTAGCGCAGGTTGGACGCTCCATTATGTAAGGCTTGAAGTTTCAAGCGCTTTCAGCATCGAATTGCGTATACACCTCCGTTATTGCTAACAACGATAAATGTCGACGAAGGACAAATGTCTTTTTTATGTGGGACTTTCTTAGCATTAATATTTATTCCCTACAAAAGTTGTAAAAATTAATCCAACCAAAAAACATCTACGCTAGATTTGCAATGTGTCGAGCTTTTCACTTGGTACCGTCGTTAGGCGTTCCAATCCGAAATGCAGTGCGCCTATGCCTAGATTCGAACCTAGACGACCACGCACCCCGAAGATTAGTTGGCAATTACTCTACTCACTAAGATATCATGTGTACACATCTTGTCAACGTAACACCACTTAGACAGTCACAGCCACGCCCTCGTCACTTGCCTTTGTTGCCTTCTTGCAGCCCTGCTCCCTAAAATCGAGATTTACCTTTCCTGCTGAATTTCAGAGATATTCGGCCGTAAAATATCGCTGACACTAGTAAAACAGCAAGGATACAAGTGCTGCTAATGATTTGGGGATGCAAAATCATCAAAGGCTCTTGGCCTTTTACTGTCAGGTGCGAGTACCTCATTTACTTCACGCCTTTTTTTTCCATTATTAGCGGACTACTGGAATATCATTGTTAAAATGTCGTCAGTTCTTTTATTTTTTGTTTTGAATTTTGCGAACGCGCTATTGGAACGTGTGAGTAATTTTTTGGGAGTTAATATTATCTCTGAGCTCGACGTTCGCACTGGTCTTATCACTGGCTTCAATGCTGCAATCGATAGCCGAGCGTCGCGATCACTTGTTGTTGATCACACACAGAGAAGCGCCTGTCGTTAATGTCTCGGGCTTTCCTCGATTTTTTTTTCGCCACCATTCATCATCATCATCATCATCATCAAAGCCCTTCTCTATGCGGTCATCTAAGAGTTACCTACATCAAACTATACAGTTGTCATCAGTGTGGTTTACTGTGTCAGCTACATTGCTGGTGGTAGGTATAGGTGAGGTCACTAAGAGCAAGCGGCTACGCAAGTTCTACTCAAGTCGGATGTCCTTTTCCAGATTTGGTTCCCTTAGAAATCATTTACTTCGCTCTATAAATACAATCACTGCCTTATATGCTCTACCTATGGCGACTAGATACTAAAAAAGTAGACTAGTTCACATTTACGGTCCAGAAGTATAACTTAAATATTGGCTGCCCAACAGTGCAGCCCAAAAAATGGTTATGTAAATAGAAAGAAACAACGCCCCCTCTTCTCACCACCATCATCATCATCATCATCATCATCACTATCGTGAGTGTGATCGAGTCGTAACAACACAGCGAAAAAAAAATTATTGCATGATTTCTGTTGCGTGTCTGCATTGGATATCCTTTTCATGTGCACCCTTGACGAAGCTCACATATTAAGTAGAGTTTCACCTTTATGGGAACTTACGAGGCACCCTGCACCATACAGTTTCCCCGTATACTAACGGGTATAATGTTCAATCTTTTCATTCTTCTCCATTAAATCTACATAATAACATTTGATTAGTCTGGCCACCAAGATATGCGAATTATTATGAACTCCTTCGTTTTTTCTATTGAGCCAAATCCCTGTTATTCGTGGTTGTCTGCTGGGTTACCGTCGGTCACATTTCTTTTGTATATAGTCGTAAGAGCAGACGCCTGCGTCAGCAGAACTTAGAACTTAACAAAAGAAAATGCGCAGCTAATGAGGTGAAGTAGACTAAGGAAAACGGCGCTGCACCGCTAGAGTAAGGGAGCAAACAATCAGGATTCATCAAATTCGCATTAGCAATAGCGAACCATTTGATAGGCGCAGTTACTACTCTTGCAGTAGATGCCCAGGCAATAGAACATCCCAGGCAAACGGACCATCCCTGGCACGGCCAGCGGAGAAACGCATTGATCGTAATGCCTTGCTGCAGTTCATTGATGGCGTCCTTCTTCATTGTCTACAACCCTCCCCCATTCCCCCTTCGTTCTTTACATCTGTTGAGGTCGATGTCGTCGTGAACGTCACACAACGAGCGACTGTTGAAGACCTTTTATTTGGTCTTCTTGGTCCTCGTCATAACAACATCATTCTCTCAGATAGACCTCTCATGCCTTCATTCCCTCTCACTTCTGTAACTCGTCGTATTTTCTAGTGCGATATAAATGTATATAGACACTCGATAACTTCGATAATACTCAATGAGTTCGAGAAACGTGTAGTTAACAAAAAGTCTCGAGCACTCCGCTTTAGCTTATAATTCCTTACGTTTCATCATAATTCCACCAAAGCGAAATCAGAATTGTCTATTAGAACCTGGTATTTTGAATATGTCAGTCCTTAGAAGACGGTGAAATGAATTTAAAATCTTTTTGCTATAATTTTCTAAATGCTGCTTTACAATTAATCCTGTTTTAATTGAAGGCTGCATATATTTGCCAGAGATCTCGAAGGATACTAAAATTGTGTAGGCTTGCATAAAAAAATTCAACCTCCAAGCTTATTACAGAAGGCTTTGGGGAAGACGCATGTATCACACTCAAAAAGTACTGTTTAACAAATCTTTGGATGACAACTAATCGTGGCAATGAAGGTGTTAATAATAAGTATCGACTGAAATAATAATATTAAGGTTTTTAAAGTTCGAGGCTAATGTAAAACTATAATTTTGTGTTACTCTTTTGTAGTAGCGTATCTAATGATTATATAAGAAGCAAGTTGCAAATGAAAGCCTTATTATGAAAATTGCTTTACGTGTTTATGATAATTATAAAAGTGGATTTCTCCTGGGCCTTATTTGCCCATCGGCCAAATCGAATCAATGTCTGTCCCGTCGTAAACAAATGTCGCAATAGCATGTTTCTATTCAAATCCCTTTGAGTATTTCAAATCAGGAGGAAAATGAGGGTTGTTTGCAAAATATTTGCACGTAGCCCTTGCATGTGAAAGCCGGCGAACAGATCTAAGAAATAATATAAAATATTATCAGAGACTTAACGTTGCTAAAAATGGTATGCGCATAAATATACCTTATATTGACAAGTAAGGTAAAAGAGTAGCTCTGAAATAAGGAATGACCATATGCCGGTTTTTTAACTGTTGCTTACATTTAAATCAGCCAATAAAATACATTACGAATGCGTTACAAAGTATTGAGGTACTTCTTTTCTTTTTGTAAAGGTACTTTTTTTGTCCGTCCCAGGCCCATATATTTTGTTTTTTTGTTCTGCAAACACACAAGTATGCACAATCTGTCTTCCTATAGTTGTTGTTGTTGTCGTATAGTTATTTATTGTATGTTATTATATTGATTCTAGTCATATGAGTGCTGGCGATTGCTGTAGATAAATCGTATACTCGATACGTAAAGGTCAACTTGCAGAGCACTTCTAAAAAATATGTCATGTAACGTGCTTGAAAAGCAGTGCAGACTGAGATTAATTGAAGTCAACTTTGTGTGGGTTAACTTTTTGTTCTAGTTGAGCGATACCGTTACCATGGCGGAGGTTCCTGATGTAAGTCCAGGAGCTCGTGCGTCCGAAGCGTCAGCATCTCCAGCTACCAGCACTTCGTCAACCACTTCCCACTCAGCGGGAACTCCGCGATCAGCTACAGGAAGCCGCGATACTTCTGCAGTTGCAGCTGCTTCGTCACCTAATACTGGAGATCCACCGATAACGCCTACTCCATCAGTAACAGTGCCTGCCCTTCAACAAATCCTTGCGGTTCTAGCGGCAGGAACAGCGGTAGCTACGGATCCAGCTGTCACTGTCGCGCAGGTGACGGCACGTTTGGCACCTGGTGGGACAACGCTTAGTACGCGGGTCGCCCGTTTGCGGCCCATTCTACCAAAGCCCACACTGCATGGCCACAAGGTGAGAATATCTTCAAGACGTCCTTTCCCACTTTGTTTATTCCGCTTCTGTGGCTCACACGTACGGTTCACGTTATTCGAGAGTTTATGTACCATCCTGAATACTGCACTGAAGCTACAACAGCTACGAGATCGGAAGTTTGATTTCCGCTTAAACTCTGTACTTTTTCAAATTAGGAGAAGGAGGCCAACGGCGTATCTGCTTATTGCATTTGGGTAAGAAGTAGTGACTGCAATTCCTTAATATCAACTTGGCATGCAGTATCGTTTATCCACCGTACAGAAACGTTTATTATACGCATTACCTATTATAATGTAATACTAATTATAGATTGTTCCCTCTCGAAAAGTGACCAAAGTAGGCACAGTATATATTGCGGAAGCGTCCATTCGGAAGTGTCTAAAGTAATGTCTAACGACTGAAATACCAGATGTAAAACCCCTAAAGACTGTTGCAATATTGGTAATCAGCAGTTTAAAGCATACAAAAAACAGAATCATTAGGTTAGCACTAAAGACATACGTAAATGTCGATTTACGAGCTCTAATTATAATATCCACAATAGCAATAATAGCCCAATGCTATACTTAACAATCCGAACTGTGTAGTACGTGTACTGTCCAAGATTATCGACGAGGCTTCGCTTAAAAACGCATAATCTCTATGTAGCAAACAGTTCAAATATAAATAAAACTTTCACTTTAAAATACAAAAAATCGCTGCCAGATGTGGGGCGTTTATCACGGTGTTTATCGCCTGCCTTTTTTTAAGTAGGAGAAATTGGGCCATGATTTCAAAACATTGCTTTTATTTCTCATTTCCAGACGGACCCGTTAAACCTAAAAAGCGTCTGTGTTCAATTAGCTCCTGGAAGCGGGTCAATAGTTACGCCTGCACTAACAGGGTCTTGTTCATCGGCCTCAAATAGTAATGGTGCAGCATGTGCGGGTACAGCCGTTCGGATTGCTACTCTCAACTATCCAACGCCGTCAACTCTCAGTTCATGCTCCAGTCCAACACAGTCTCAACTCTCTGACTTTGACGTATGTGTCATCATCTCTATACTCATTAGCTATGTCCAACTTTAACAGTGAGGGAAGGGATAGAAGAAAGAGAGTATATGGTATAACGTAAATAATATTTTATTTTATTACTAAAAATTTTAGAGAACATTTGAAATGTGTATATTTCTTATAGCTTATTTGAATATAAAAATCATAAATGTGTAAAATTACTTAACTGCACATATATTTGAGATATTATTATTATATTTTTATCATATTTTATTATATTATTATATTATTATATTATTATTATATTATCATATTTTGAGATGACTCTCAAGACGGCCATTATGGCTTGTCTTAAAATATAATGCGATTGTTTTCCGGAAAAAGTCTACCACGCTGTTGCTCGCTTAAGTGAACTTCTATACTACCCCGATAATCATTGTGAAATCAATATCCGAGCCATTTGCGAATTCATTGGGTAAGAAGATGTAAAAAACTGCAACGAAGTTTTTTTACATCAACCAATGCAATATGTTTAACTTGCAATAGTTCCGGTTTAAATCTTACGTTTATACTGTGTACGATTTGTGTCTCATTAGCAGATTCCATCCCCGCTCAGTATGTCGGATCGATCAACTCCTTTAGATTTTTCTCCGACCGTCGATGTGGTCGCAGCGCGCTCCGATGAAAACCCGCGCGAAGGCATGGCCCCAAAGAATCTTTCGCAACGAACGCGTGCTCAGTCCGCCAATCAGACAAACGGTTCACATAAACCTCTGCTCGGTGATCGAGTCTCAGCTTTTATGGGAACGGGATTTCCGAATAGAGGCACTACTCAATCATCGACTTCTGGTTCTTGTCCGCCTCTCCCCGACCAGTTCATCGCCACCCGTGGTGCACCTCCCGAATTCATCGATGAGACACCGATCGCGTTAGAGGCCAATCGGGGTCCACCACGAGGCGAAATCACACGGACGCCAGCTCAAGCTGGACACGAACATGTCAACCTCGATGAGCTCAGAGTAAGATATCTTTCTTTATTTCGCTAAGCCTAAAAGCTCATTCGTCGACGCCTTGAAATGGACGTTGTTCTTAATTACTAGAGTAATTTACTTTGGCTCCTTCGGACAAATACTAATGCCGCACCTATTAGTAGTGGAAACCCCTGGGAATATTAGGTTGTTCTATATTGTTCCGTTTGCCCATTATCTCAACTAACATAAAGCATTGAGCCCCTTGGGGTAGGATTTTCCCCGAACTTCACATAGCTTTTAAAAGGAAGGCTATCTTCGGCAGTACTCAACAGCAAATACCGGACAGTGTTATACAGAATATAGCAAAGCCGATGCCGGTGACGTACACTTCTACTTGATGTCGGTGTCGATGTTACCTTTACTTGTTACTAAATTCGTTGATCGTTTTTAATCAAAATTAACATTGTTTTTTCTTAATGCCTGTTGCTGATATCATCAGTATACTACTCTCGGTGAGGTCCTATCTGCTAGGGCGTCTCCTTCTGCTTCGTCTCCATCAAACTCTTCGGTGGCTCTTCAAGCAGGACTTCACACACCGCCTCCATCTGAATGCGCGGTGGAGGCTCCAGCGCTTGGCCAACCTCAGGTAGACATTGACCACCTCTGATAACGGATTTGCCCCCACTCCGGTTAGACTTCAGATGAGAGAAAGTTCTTGATACTATATTAAAAATTGCTTATGTCGACGGTTGCAAATCGTGGCAAGAAGGATAAACATGAATACACTAATATAATTTTTTTCAAGATCGTACTTTATATTTGTGTTACAATATACAAGTTAAAATCATCAGTTTAACGTTAGCATCATTCAGTTGTGCATAAACATTTTTGACCGTATAACATATGAACAGTTAACTATTAATTATTTTTTGCAAGAAGGTGTGTGCCAGTTATATTCCTGTTGTAATCTGCTTCGTGTGCGGTCATACATAAACCATCTTTATAAAGTGTTTATTTAACACAAGATATTATTGTCATTGATTTAAGATGCTATCCTCACGGTCGCATTCGCTGCACTCTCTCAACTTTCAACCGAACAACGGACATATCGAAACACCTCCAGGCTTTGACTCCTTACTCTGTGCCACTCCGGGACCAGCTGAGCACCGCAATAGCGCTGGCGGTGCACAACATGGACCGCGAGAATCATCCTCCGTTGAAGGATCTGGCATTCTTCCCAGCGCTATATATATGTCCCAGCTCATGTGAACCGTAAGATAACCGATGTCACAGGACGCTAATCAATAAGTACGTCTGAAACAACATAAATGGTGGTCAACCCTAATGTAACGTGCACTTTTCGATCTAACCATTCCATAGATCCCAACGAACTATGTTCTATTTTAAGGATATACTAGTGTATGAATTAAAATCGATTTTATTAGATAAGATTATATAGATCAAATAGCAGAGAAATGCGACGCATCTGTGTAAAGCTAAGTCGAAGCTTCTTCAACCAGCTAGTCACTCAGATAACGGCTTTCAGAAAAATCGTTTGGCACTGGGTTATTGTAAAGATCTATACTGGATCTTCCGTTGCATGTTTATGGTTGCTAAATGTACGAATTGCTTAGAAGCATACTGACTGCATCGATAGCTAGTTGGTTACAACAAGCGTATATGCTGACTAATTTCAAATAAGGCACTGCCCCGTCACGCCTGCAAATTCAAAATCATTGATTGAAGCATTTCTTTGCCATTTTATAGGATTGCCGTTCGTGTCACTGGCTTCGTTCGTCCGGCACATAGTAGTCACGCGTTATATACACGGAGGATTTCACTGCACATCATCAAAATGTACCCTTACATTTCTAGGCACAACTTTATATGCTCGCCGTAAAGTATATTTCCTTCTGAATACAAAGTGGTCAAATGTGGTGGGAATTTTCAAGCCATAGTTGGCAGAATTTATCGAACAACATACCGATTCCACTACGAAGAGGTTCCATGTGGAATACGGAAATCTGATGTCCACTCAAACGTTTTGATGCAGAACGCCCTATTAAATTGGCGAAATATAGGGGATGATTTACAAAAATTGACAATAAACGTTACGCTCATTAACAGCTCTGCCAAAACGTCTCCTGCGGACGAGCCTAAACGCACTAAAGTACACAGACTTTGTAACCTTCTTTAGTGAATTAGAGTTGGGAGAGTCACTGCGGCAATGTACACATGAGTTTTCCGCGTTGAAGGTACATAAGGTCCTTAAAATAGGTAAATGAAAATAAGTATATGAAAATAGGGTATCCAATTTTTGGATGCGTCGCGAACGTGACATTTATATACAAATTACCAACGGAGCAATTACGTGTGCATGGTAACGGTGTCGGTTTGTCATACCGGAATTTGGAAGTTCGGCTTTCAATAAGAGACAAAGAATCCGATAGCAGCTGTTTTGCTAAGGTACTGCTCCCTCGCGGAGGTGGCAATTTATATCCTAATTTCTTAGGTCTGAATCTATCTAGTGTAATAACGGGAACTGAGTAGATATACCGATAAGTTCAGTTAGCTCAATGCATGGATGCTTCTAGCGATGAAAAGTGGAATAGGGAAGTGCGAAACAGCATTGGTCATAAGCACATACAACGGCAAGACGAAGGTGAGCTTCTTACAGAGTAAACAAGTTTAAGGAAAACTACAGCCGTTTACGCTAACGAAAGTAAAACGATGATACCAACTATAATATAAAAAGCAAAGCACACTGTAACTAGCACACAGATTCTTTTTCTACACAGACAGGTGCGCACCTTCTAACAAATTTACAGCCTGTCCGCAGCTACCTTAATAATACCCTCTCGAAACCTGTGAAGGAAACGATCGCGATAGAGGCTGACTTCTTGTATATTTACGAGCCTTATCGCACTGTGATATAATTGAATTATTATTCTTATTAGATACGAGTAATTATTCGCTCGCGAATAGTCATCATAATACTGACTGATGACGATGATTGCCCATGATAAATTATGATTCGAATTGATTAACACCGTTAAGTGGCGCTACTTGCATAACGGGTGCTGCATACACATTTAGGTGACTGAATTTATGAAATAACCTGTCAAGGAGCAACTACTTTGAGAGATTGAAGAGACCCATTCATGTGGCATTCAATGCCTTCATATGGGTTTTCGCTACGCTAAGGTTCTGTACATAAACAATAATGGTTCTGATGCTGATGACTGTACCATTCTGCTATACAAATCAACAAGCAGCAGCAGCAGCAGCATACGTATGCTAATACTACAACTACACCACAGCAATTATCTCTAGTCTAGTCACTCACAAACAAACTTGCCCAGGACTTGTCGATGACTGTTGATCGCAAAAGATTGACGAAGGCCCAGCTGAAGCAACAACAGGATCTTCTCGGAAGGAATGGCGAGCCCCTCCAAACCCGTCACTGACTAGAAGAAGACAATAGGATTTCATTACTAAGGATAGCAAATACTTTGCCAATTAGCTGTTGTTGCCCTTGCGGAGTGGACATTTGTATTATAAGTTAACCTATTTTTTACGTAGCCTGTTATTTATATAGAATAGAAGAAAAATTTAAAAAGTGAGTAAATGCTTATGGTAAAACCTACCACCAGCGCTCAATTTGACTGTTCACAATTTTTTTTTTGATGTTCACACGTTTAGACGTGACGACATCGCCATTGAGCTTTACTTCATTGAAAATCCACGCTTAACGAGACAATATTTTTTTTAAAGGTCGGTCGTATTGATCGGGTACGGTTGGGATCGAAATACGCGAAGATTTAGTATTAAGTTCTGCTACTAGATCTATCGCAAAGATCACACATTCGTTTATCAAAATGTTTATTGCACGTTGGAATAAAAAATAAACAAATTTTCCTATATTTGTTAATACTATGCCATTTATGATTTCAATCCTGATTAAACCTAGATCACGACCTAAATAAGGTATGGACAACAAAAAAGTAACAATGAACTATAAATCAGGGAAGCATAAAATGCATGAAGCCAATTTCCGTGACAGGAAACAAGTGAAGCATACACAAATGATAGTGATTTAATACGTAATAAGTACGATACTTAGCGATGGAGGGGCTTATCAAAATAAAATGCAATGCTCTGTATAAAACAATAAAAGTATACATTTTCGTAACATATATAATATTTGTGTTAATTATAAGGTATGTATTGATTGTTAGATATAAAAGTGAACAATTTACAGAAATAATTTCTTCGATAACGTATTATGCTGGTTCACATAACGTTAGAACCTCTCAGCGTTACTACTTTCTGTAAATGCTTCCCTTTAAGGTTAAGGGGGTCGTTATGAAATATATTATCGTTATTCTAGCTGATTAGGATAGTGAAGAACTAAGTCTATTTTTAACTATTTTTAAAGTTAAAAAATAATTTAACTCGCATTTTCTCCTGCTTAAAAGACATCTCTTCAAAAAAGAAGTAAATAAACAAAAACTAAAGCCATGTAAGAGTAGCTTTTATTTTGCCCATGGCTCTACGTACGGGTACGTCGCCCAAGCTCTTCAACAATGTTTTGGCACTTAAAATATTTACTCAATGATTCGATGTGAGCACGTTTGTGGAGTCTTGCTCTATCGTTACCAGAAGTTCATAAACACAAATTACCAAGCGATCATTTAAGCACCGAAGATGAACTATGCGGCAGCAGCCAGCTATGCCGACTATTGCAGAAAGATCTACGAAATACATCCTCGGGCTAACAAAGCTGATGAAATCGCGAAGGTTACTGAATTTAAGGTTACAATTACCGAAAACTATTTGTTGCAGTTGTGAATGAACATGTTTCCATAGTTTTCCATAGTGTCGCATATATTACAGATTTCATAAAAATAGTATAATAAGCGAAAGGGAAAAACTGGTTGGACGGTGTAGCTGTTTACTTTGACTCGTGTCTTGAGCTGGGAGCGAAATTTGTGTCTATTTTTTTTCTATAGAATCCATTGTATAGACGCACAATGGATTCCATACTACTCGATCTCGGCCATTTCAACGACTGGCACTCGATCGGTCAGCGGCGCAAGTTTGGCCACTGCAGTAAAAAGGGAAAGGTGACTAGGGAAATTGTGGGTAATACTTTTTGCAACGCGCAAAGTCTGATGAAGGTCTGGTGAAAGATGAAGGGAATCTTGCTACTTCTTTTGAGGTACCGGCTTTTTGATATTGAAAAAATGTATGCGTTGTCTCGGAAAAGATCCAACAAGCTTAACGCATCTATCCCGTTTCGATACGCATATAAACATTTGCAAAAATCGAATTGAGAAAATTCAAGTTATACGATATGTTAGAGTAGCTAAGCTGTTTGCTAGAACTCGCAGTCCGTGGCTACTCCATAAATAAAAACCTTAAATAGTATTGTCTTTAAAATGGAGGACGACCTAAAAAACTCGTAGACATATTTTGAATGTTTAGAAGAAAATTAATGTTCTAGAGGCGCAAATATAATTACTGATTGATTTCGCAGCTGCATTTAACTCGGGAGATTATGTTCTAGACCAGCATATATACCACAAGTTTTAACACCGATTGGTATTCTGTATGAGTCCTGGCACTTTTAGAACCTTCTAATCCACATATAATATCTAGAACTATACATTATGCACCTCGTTGCATTTGTATCTATTGCTACCCCTGTTACCGTTGGATAGGACATACCGTTGTATACCGTTATCCCGTTGTTGTATAGGACAATGCTAGGCATAACTCAAGCACGGCTCTACTCTAGCAAATAGAACTTCAGCCCCTGCCAACTTCACCGGATCAAATGTCAGTCCAGAAAAATTAGAAGGCATAGAAGAAGTGTTAATGGATTTATTATTGGTAATATTGATTTAGGAAGCGTTTCTATGTCAAAATGTATTCGTGGACAGGTATCCACTCCAATAGCTATGCAATCATCACAAGATTTTGCTTTCCTTTATTACAACATACTATTACATAAGTACAAAATATTACAACATAATAATCAATAGGACAGACTGTTTACTGAGTTCAAGGCCTCACACTCCCACTTAACATTGGAGACACGAGACATCATACTTTTGCTTTACAAGAAACCTGGGGTTAAATAATTATTTAATTAGATTTTACTATTTCTTAGCTCCTACGAGCCCTTTTTTAAATCAAATGTGAATTAGAAATAACTAACTAAACATCTGAAGGGTATAAAACATATTTTGTACTTACACAGAAGATCATATCTACAACTTTCTTTCTGTTTTTTTTTCTTTGTTATAGTCGCATAGGAAGTATTGTAACTCTGCGGAGAACAGATCTGTAGTGTGTACCCATATTCAGATTACCCATGTGTGCTTTGCCGTTGTTTGCTATAGATCGGATAATGTGATAGTCTTCTAAGACGAACTGATGATTTTTCTGATAGGTAGAGAGGTCTTTAGTTTATATTCGGTGTTGAAGTACTATAGCCCGAACCTTCTTAAATAACCAAATAAAGACAACGATTGATGAGACAAATCGATCCTTTATACTTTAATTCATACACACGAGAGGAATGTACAAAAGTTGATTGTTGAGCAGTTCTCAACAAAATCAAATCACTTGACTCAATTGGATACGTTTGGGTGCATTCGGACATGAAATTCAAGCAGATATGTCTTCAGTTGGTTCTAGATGCTATTTGTGATTATTGGACACTGGTGCTTGTTGTAGTTGTAATTCTGTCCATAGCAGACTCGTTCACATCCGAAGCTCGCTCATTTTGTGAAGTAATTGACTGTTATGGTTATTAAGGATTTGTGTTAGAAGCACTAATTATTATCACGTTTAGAGAATATCCCATCCCAGTATAAATATGATGTCAGTTAGTTTACGGGTGCTAATCTCCAACGCAATATTTTCCACCTTACGAACAACGAAACCGCCTGATACATCTGTTACTATTTTGTTTACTGCTAAAAGCAATTATACATGTCGTCCACGCATTTACTTCCGGACCATGGAAAATTTTAATGTTTATATACAATCACAGCTTTTCATGGCTCATGTTATAATAAGAATATGAGTCACTAGTGCATATCTTTATGGGTACCGATGACGTTAATTGAGCCGGTTAATCCACAAATGAATTTTGTGGGTTCTGGCTTAAGAGATCCAGTGTAAGATTAACATGGCTTCACTTGAGTTAAGTGGATAGTATTCAAGCCAATCTTTAATAATTTACGAAGACAGTACAACGTTAGGTGAAATGAGCAAAAAATGGCTTTTTTCTGTTGCTATTCGCCGCCAAAGGGTATCGATAACGTACGTGAGACCTTTCCACAAAGACGTTTCTCGTTTCTCCACGATAATTTGTTTTCTATCAGTATATAGTGATTAAAGGTATTGTCGTTTTCGAGACCCACCAGCTGCTGGTCGATCCACAACGGATTTTAAACTGTTCGAAGTGCCAGCAGTTAAATGTCTTTGCTTTCGAAGACTCTCCACTAATCGATTAATGATAATCGAACGGAACCGACTGTACGTTTCTTGTAGGCGTTCCTGGTCAGCCTTTCGGCGTTGCGCAATATCTTCCGCGGTGTACGTTGAGGAGACTACTACAACATCGCTGTCAGCATCACAGTCATTCTCGTCGTCGTCGTCGTCATCGCCATCATCATCTACCTCAATAATTTCCGGGTGTTCATCTGAAGAGACACGAAAAATCACGCTAGTGCTTATGGATCACGACGTCATACTGTATCAACTTAGACTACTTATGAGTTATATGCTCGCAACTATTGCTTAACGAATACAATCGATAATAGTCAAAACTTACTGGTTGCAGAGCTTACTCCTGTAATAGAAGCAGGAACGGATGAATTTACGGACGGATTCCCGATACACTCACAGTCCTGGCACCTGTAGGCCGACATAGGGCCATCTTGAAGGTCGCTACATTTGATGTGTGTTCCGCTTTTCCCACAATCATCGCACCTGATATTAAATTGAACCAGAAATTTTAAGTGAGGTCCACTCAAATAGATTACCGACTCTGAATAAATTTTTTCTAACTTTTAGCAGTCAAAATAACAAGGTGATTTAATAAATCGAACATGTTAGAAATGGAGAAGAAGTTTATCTTTTGATTCAGTAGTTAGTGGATAATCACAGCCACGAGCCAACTAGGTTTTTCTTACCTGACCACTTCCCAGTCGGGATGGCCGTCAGTTGTTTGGCGCCCATTAGGACAGAGGCAAATGGGAACGTCGCAAACGCTATGTGGGATGTAGTGGTCTGCAAACTCATTGCTACGCTCCCATTCGGCATCCTGATTTGGCACGAAGATCCCATTTTGCTGACACGCATAGAGAAACTGATTAACATTCCGGCACTGGCAGCATTTAAAGTGGTGGAGGCCTGCGACTTTTGCGTAACCTCGGAGACAACGCTTCTCATACAGCTGTCGACAGCAAGGACTGACTAGAAAATCGGAAGATATTGAAACGGAGGGATTTATCCGAATAGTTTCGAGGCAAACAAGACACTCGGCTGTGCCGTCTGGCTTGGTAAGGGGTACTACCACTTGGGGTCGAGCGTGTTCGCCACACAGCACGTCGAAAGCTTCCTGGTTAAAGTCGGCTATGGAATCGTTTTCATAGGCGCATGGGAAGTGAAATACGCGTCTACAAGACGCCTTGGCGCACCGAACGTTTGCGCCAGGTTTTCGACAATAGCAGCATTTATCTTTTTGCGAACGTCGCACTTCTTTGGCAATATCGACATCAAGGAAACCTTTGATTCCTTCCTCATCCTGACCTTTCTGAGGAAGCTGGCTCGAAAGCAACTAAATGAAAAACAAAAATGTAAATCGAATCAAAATTTGCTTCCAGGTGATGCTTTAACTAGCATATACAGATTATATGAGTTAATGCAGCAGGATTTCGATGACCTTCTTGGTCTTTCAAAAACGGCGATGGCACCACTTAAGACCGTTAGATAAGGTGGGCAGGATTGCTGAAAACTATTTCAAGCCGTTTTCAAGCTGTTTTCACCGCAAACCTTGCAACACTAAATAATTATTGGTTTCTAGTTGAAACGTCTATACGTTAGTGTTTCATAACTCGTTTACACACAAATCTACCTGCCTAAGCCTACTCTCATCCCTTTATCCCCAACACTTTTATGAGTACAATAATTTCCAACCTTTGACTTTATATATGGCTTAATATCGTGAGTAACCCACGTAATAATAACTCTAACACTTATCTGGGTATAATTACTTTTAGGCGTAAGTATTTATTTGGACTGCCTACACACGACGAGTCACTATTCGTCAGGTTGTTTTTAAAACTAAATCATAATTGGAAAAACGAGCCACAGGCTTGTGATCCGTTCTTAAAGGTATACCAAAAACATTCAGTCTGCGACCTACCATGCAGAAATAATGAACCGTATGCTTGAGACTTGATTCCCGTTGACCAAAAATAAGATTTTCGTCATCACGGATAGGACGTCTACAGAAAACGCATGTGTCTTGATGAACTGCAGAAATAAGAGTTTTTGTCAATAGGTTATTAGAAGTCGCGATGAACAATTATATACCTAACCGTAAAGTGATTTTCATCTAACTAGACTGAGTTGAATTACTTATTAATTAATTACTTTTTTAACAACTGCATGTCATATTATGCCAGCTCCCATTATTTTATTACTTCTTTCATATTTAGGAATAAAAAGTCCCTTTTAACTTTGATGAACGCGCATACTTTAGCATTTCGAAACTGCTTAATTTACAAAGTTACTATTCACTTAATCTATTTCGATATTATTCTGTTCAAAGCTTTCTTTCCAAAAAGTTACTATTTTATATGATCCTCTACAAAAGACCCCCCAACATAATTAACCTCATGCTTTGCCAAGGTACCAAATCAAATCAGTATCTGTCTCACTTTGCATGTTAGATACATGTCTTTATGGTGATCTCCGAGCCTTCTATTATATCCTGTTCGCAACATGACATGATATGCTTTGGGTTGTGTAGTCTATAATCTATCAACTAACACTGTAGGTTTTTTGAAAGCTTTCTGTCAATTCAATCAAAATAATACAATATTACTGATTTCTATGAGAAATCTAGAAGAATGAATATTACGGGTGTTGCTGGCATTTATAGTCGTTAAGTTCACTAAAATCGCCGGCATTTGTAATCAAAGTGTAATTCAGTAGAATAAAATAGGAGTGAGTTTTGCCTTTCGTGCATTAATTTGAGGCGCACAAATTAAGCCCTCGTTTTCCAAAACATTAAAGCTGATAGGGGTCTAACCTGACGGTTTCATAACAGAAATGCATAATTCGTTTATTAAATTAGCTGTTGGAAAACAGTTCCAATAAGCATCAATAGAAAGCCAACAGTAAACCATATCATGTAGTCCGGGTGGTGGCATATTGGGTTAGTCTGTTAAATTGAGGGATAACACATAGTGGTCTCGGTTCGAATCCAGGCGTAGACGCAGTTCGTTTCGTACTACGAGCCAGCCATATGATAGAATGCCTAACGCCGGTCGAAAGGCTCGAAATATTAACAACATATCATTTGACCAGGTATTCCATTCATTTGACTCACACGGCCATAATTATAAAAACGAACACAAGCCAGCACTTGAATTAATAAATATCATAGAACAGTGTACAAATCATTCTTAAAACCTAACATAGTTCTGTTGTACCTGGCGCCGTGTGTGTTCTTGATTTTGTTCCTTTGGCTGAATTAGACAAAGCCATTATTTAGATACCTAGGCACTTCACTATCTTGAAACAGATCCTCATCTATTTCACACAAATTTATTTTGAGCCGAGCGTCTCCAAAGGCCACCGAATGTACACAAATTGCTGTGCCGTACTGTTCGGCAGCCGCTAAGATGGCGGAATAATTCGATTCAGTTTAAAGAGAGAGGAATTACAGATACGATTGAAGGAGAGAGCATAAGCGAAACATATCAATCTTCTGAGCTTGTTTAGATTTTAATACTGTTAGTTGATATAAAATACGTAAATTTTAGTGAGGTGTGTGAACAGAAAGATGCTAGAGTTTTCAACTTCATACTAGATTAATAGAAAAGTAGTGTCCGCGGTCTTTCAAATTCTCCCTGTTCCCTTCCCTGTTCTCTGCTAGTGTCTTTATGTCATTATGCAGCACTCTGTCCCCTCTATAAGCCCGTTACAATTTCTCTACGTGGTTAATATCATTTTATTTCAAGCCCGAATTTCAAAAATGGCAGTCCCAAATGAAAAAGAGTACATCTTAATACGTATTTTATTTCGTTTTTCGCCGACATCAAAATGCTGCTGAAATAGCTTGAGAAATTTCTGCGGGTCTACGGCAAAAACTCTATTACAGAGAGAACTGTTTGAAGATGGTTTGCTAAGTTTAAAAATGGTGTATTTGATTTGGAGGATGTACCTCGCTCCGATCACTTTTGAGGAAAGATCATCGCCAAACAACCAGTGGATTAGCCGAGAAGCTGAACTGCAGTTGTGTGACTATCACCAGTCATCTTCATTCGTAACCGTATATTCGACAATGAAGATTGTCTTAAATGCTAGACGAGGTTTCCAACATAAGATGTAGAAAATTTCTATCCAACACAATAGACAGATTAATTAAGAAATGGCAGAAAATTGTGGAGGATGACAGCATGTACATAGTAAATTGATAGTTTGGAAGCATTCAAGCGAATTTAAGTTTTGTTCTTTGTTCGGTAAACGATGTCACTGTTTTTCGACTCACCTGATAAACGGTCTTAAGCTGCGTTTTCTCACTGCGTGTGAAAAATTTCGGTCTTACAATTTTTGTGCTAATAGCACGAATGAGCTTAGGCTGTTTTACATGGCAAGAATCTAACTCGGCTTTCGAAATGTGAACTTTAATCCTATCAATCAGAAATAAATTAGTATTAGGTTTTATGATTATTTTACGGTAAAAAGAGGTAACATAATTTTCTACCGGTCATTATTTACTTCAAGAGTTATTATTTTGAGATATTTAGAAAATCTGAATGGTTATTATTTGCGTTTTGATGTAAAAGGGAGTAAGCATAGGCTTAAAGACCTAAAATTTTTGGATCTCTTCATTGACCCCAATGAAGAGATCTTCTTATCTTAATTAATATTGTTTTAATGAATTTTAGGCAACGGTTTGCACCCATGTTGCGCACATATGCGCATCTGAACTTCTCATAGTAACCAAATGTATTACCAATTATAAAAATAAAGGGAATCAACCTAATATTTCGTGAAACTTGAAGTCAATCTCAACATTGTACGCTAACGCTTCAAGGCTCCGAGTCTAAACTGTTTAACTGTTTAAATGGTGTCCTTTTAACGCCTGAGAGACGGGATAAAGACGTTTCAGATTAATGTCAACATAGGTTCTTTAGTCGTTCTGTACACGATCACCTTGGTCTGCAAACCACTAAAGACATCAGCCAGTAATAGTAAAACAAGTCTCACTTTCTTTGCAGCCTGTACAACACCCTTCAGTTTTCATAGCAACTCGTAAAGAGTTCCCATTAGCTATAATGACCGTATCAAGGTATGCATTATGATCTTGCAAATCAGTTTTCAATAACTTTACAGCTGAAACACCGATATTATAGCCACTTCCGCGCACTGAAAAATTCAAAAATTAACAGACCGTACTTTTTTAGTTTTGTAAATAATCTAGAACTTCTATTGTAGAGGTAAGAAAAACAATGTAATGCGCATAGTTTAGGTCAGTAGTGAAAGCGAAGTTCCATGTGTTTTGACTATTCGTTCCTTTGTGTTTTAAAAAAAATGTTGTGTGCTCCAGACACTTCTAGTTCATTGCCAGATCTTCATATGTGAAACTTATATACAGTATACAGAAAGAAGACATTTGGATGTACAATTTTTGGTCATTATTAATATTAAATAATTAGCAATATTACGAATTTCTAGGAGGATGCGTAGGTATAGATCATTCATGTATACCGTTTGGGTTACGTCGAGCGATTTCACATTCGAATCAGTTGGCAGTATGGTACAAATCTTCTGTTGTATTGACATTCGAGGACATCAACCATTTGTCAACCGTTATAGCTAGTTAAAATAAGGTACACATTTAACAGTACGAGATAAGTATCTTCCTAATTACATTGTCCATTTTCGTTTGTGATCTTCAGGCCAGAACTGGCAAGTTCCCTCTTTTAAAATGTTCCTTTGCAGCGTAATGAATCACAGCAAAATTGCTGGCAGTTTCGAGCTATTGTAATAAAATTAAAGGTACTCGTATATATAAATAACTGTCTCCTGTTGTGAGGCTTATTTCACATCTAAAGTAGTTCCTGTGTAGCTTGCTAACAAGCTAATATCGCTTTCGTTAATGGTGCTAATTTTCTATGTTTCGAGTTTTACGTCCGCTATCGGCGTTAGGCATTCCATCAGACGTCTGGCTCTCAGCACGAAACGAAGCCTGTCTATGCTCAGGTTCAAACCTAGACCGCAACGTGTGTCTAAGATTAGCAGGCAAATACGTTTCCCGCTAAGCTATCATGAATAAACTTACTAAACCAATTTTTTGTTTCTAGCGCTCCATGGTCCTCTTCGATTAACCGGGTAATAGACAGATTCTTAAGCAACCCACCCTTGGACTTCCAATTAACTTAATCCCACAAGGTGTGGCCTATAAGCCGAGTGCATGCAAACTTCCTGTTCCTCGGTCTGTGTGTCAGGGTTTCTAGGTCGCTAAAACCACATAAAATATCATATGATAACGCATCTATATGTGTTTGCGCGTTTTTTTTTTGTTTCCCGTCAATTCTCAGATTAATTTCACCTATTAAGTTAAGTTGAGCTCCTACATTCACTTTTTACCGCGCTAAAGATTTAGCGTACGCAGAATTCAATCTTTCGTACGTTAAAAATGAATTACCGGTATCAATCGTAAGTAGAAAGATCTTTTACTATGTGCGCGTATTTTATAACGGTTTAGTTCACATAAGCATGCTCAGATAACCTCTACTTTTCTGCCGTCAAGATCTTTATACTTAGGGCAGGCAGACAGCAAGCGAATCAGAAGAGTACAGCAAATGCGAACTTCCTGAACCATTACCGAAGAACTTTTCGTTCTTGGGTAAATGGGTCATATTTTCATGCGATAGAAAAGCCTGCAATTCATAAACTTTGCACATTAGTCCTGTGCTCAGTTTGGTATTTATGTAGAGGCTACCAGCTTCAAAGAAACTGGTGATTTGTGCGCTAAATCGAAATCTTCAGCTCTGAAGAAGAACTGGACGCTGTCAGATACTGTTCGTGTCATTTAAACTGACACTATTCATGTTGTCTCAGCTGCACCTTTTCCAACAGAGCAGTCTCAAATTTAGTTCCGCTATTTAATCGCATAGGAAACTGTTCCTCACGGAACTAACAAAAACGCAAAAAGGCCAAACTCGTAAGGAAAGTGGCTATTTATCAAGCTACTAAAGAAAAAGATTGTACCGTTGCTTAAGTTACTCTTCCATAATTGGTTATATTTATACAAATTATTTTGTCTAAAAAAAGGTACTAAACCTTATGGCCACGTGTGTCAATTCGTGCAACCATTAAACATTTTACATTGTAACAATCTGCTTAGCATCCAAAGCGGAAGCGTAAGTGACCCAAAGCTAATACTTTCTGTCTTCTGTTAATGATGTTACTTATTTTGCTTAATGCCATTTTGACTCGTTTCGAATAAAGCACGAAAAATAACTTGCCTTTCAGAGGAGATTAACTCTAAGGCTCAGAAACGGGTCATTTTTAAACCAAGTTAAAAACTGCTACAACTAAGCAAATCCTGCTGAAAATGTCTTCAGACTATGGCGTTAGTTTAACTCTATAGAGACCTTAACTAATACATCCACCCAATAATCTATTAGCAATTAAAGTATCAGTCAAGCGTAATGATCAAAGCAAATCTGTTATCGATGACTTTCAAGCGAATTCTAACATCGAGATAATTGGTCGTATATTCGTCGTCACTCTCGAGCACCATCTCCTATTTTTAGACCAATCTAACTATTACGACGAGCTTTTCATAATCAACGACGTCTGTAGTTTGATACAAGATAGGAATGGTATGACCAGTGGATCTATTCTACAACTCTAGAGTATGGTTCAATATTTTAGCGCGTGATTAGTTTTTTTTTCTTCGATACTCGGCCTACATTGGTAATGTACCTATATCATATAATGCTTATATGTCCATGGCTCATCACATGCTTTTATGATTATGACCGCAATCAAACACATTCCATTATAATGGACGAGGAGATGCATATCGATTTGTTACGGAGTACTCGGCGGACAATTCATACGGAACATGCATTGTATGAATAGAACATTAGCCTCTAACAAACACATTCTTCTCATAAAGAGCAGGAACACATTGGAGGAGCAATTTTAATTATTATTTAAGCTTGAGTCTATACACATGCCCATGTTACATGTTTTCAGGTATAGCTATTGCATTGATCAGTGTGATTATCTGTGGAATGACTTATGCTTGTCTTCCCTGATAGAATTATTGGCTAGCGTACAAAAGAGGGACTGAAATAAATAAGAGGCCAAAGGTAAAAATCACGGCAAGTATGTACAGTCACTACAGAAATAATTGTGGATCCGTCGCTCACTTTTCGACCACTCTGCTCCTACGTTTCCAACTTGCAAATCTCATTGGCTCCACGTTTTTTCTTTAAAGAAAAGTGTTTTCGTATAAGATGTAACACGAAAATAACCAACTCCACCGTCAATTTTTCTATCATCTTTCTTGAGTTTTTCTTGCAGTATCTAGACAACACTCTTTATGCATACTTGCCGGAAGCTTTCCTGTCTGAGTAGGGAAATGCTACGTACGTTGGGACGCATTCGCCAGCTGATCTCCTGCTTCTCGGAGTGATTTATGTACTTGTGTAAACTCATGTATCAACCGAAATTCCATAAGATATCTATAATCCACTATAGAAAATCATCGTATCTGCCATGTACAAGTGTTGAATTACACCGATATGACCACAAGTGAAAGCTGCACTTGCGCGCTCGCGTCGCCGTGATAAAAGGGCCAAAATGGCAAGTCTACATCATCTACTTGCGCGTACAAACATTCTCGAATTGTAGCACCACTATGAGCGCAGCTGCAGGCGCCTATATATAACGTTGTTGACCGGATTGTTGTTCGTTGGTGTATGGCCATTCACTAATCGGGGATCTTGGAACTCAGTTAAGCTGCTAACGCTAGGTAACTTTACCCTATTTACAACTGTTCGATTAACTTTGTCCGGTCATATTTCGACTACACTAACCTAAATGCTCGTGCGGAAATTTCAGGTAAACATATTTTCATTATTTTTTAAACTAAACAATCTCTCATTTCTTCTTGTTTGAACAGCGCCTACCGCAATGGGCTGCGTATGTATGATGAAACGATTATTTCTTACGATGATTTACGCGTTCACGCTATTTCTCGTCATCTATCTCTATCATAAAGCTAGACCATTCATAGGTGAAGTCTGTAGTGTGCTCAGTCCATCTTCGCCCCCAGCCCCAGAAAGAAGCGGTAGTAATGTCACCAAAATGGGTCAAGACTAGAAATCGTCACCTTAAGAGCACGGAAGAGAGCAATGCAGCGGATCGCAGTACAAGAACTAGAAAATTGCTACCAAGTGAAATAAGTTCAGGTCTAGGCCTGGTTCGAAAGTGATATTGAACGCAGTTAAAACAAAACTGAAGGATCTGTACGCCACATCGAAAGGGGTGCCGCACCCAAACATTAATCAATATTGTTCCCTCTTTTTTTTCTGTAATATTTCATATATAAAATTTTCAATAGTACTAATGCAGTCTACATACTAAAGATAGAAATGATGTCTTAGGCAAGATAATGTACGCTAGGAAATAAGCTTTTGTCACGCCGTGAGGTTTGGCGCAGTAGAAAATAATAAAATAACAACAGTAAAAACTATACATCTAATGTGGTTCACTCATTTCATAATTCGATTTAGTCGCAAATCGACTACTAATTTCGGGGGGGTGCTAAAGAGAGATGATAAAAATTTAATTTATCTTTGGTTATTACTCTATTCGGGCTCTTATTTTTTTAGTATTACCTATGTAGGCTATGAGTTGACACAAGGGGGATTAATATAGTTGTTTTAATTACGTTTAATCATTATTACAATTTTTGTTCTCTCGTGTTTCGAAATTGTTCATGAGGCATATTGACATTTAAAATATGCGCGTCGCTACGTTCGAATTGACAACAACTATTTATCGTTTTGCTTCATTAAAGACCAACAAACAGTTACGATCGTATTTCATTACTCTTGCAAAAACATTGAATTAGTATAGCGAAATAGCGGTACAAGTTTCAGGAAGCTATTTCTAATATTGACATTATATGCTTATCATATTAAATTTTCATAGCAAGGTTTTGAACCGCGATCTCCATATTTTATTAGAGTTATAATACCAAATTAATCCATGAAAAAAAATAAAGAGTAATATTGAGATTTATATTAAAATGTGCTAATTGCTATGGTATTAAAAAATTCCTATTGCTCTATTGTAAATACTAGATCGGTTCTTACGAAAAACGGTTTTGCAGGTTTCTTTGTTAAGGGATAACCATAAGGATTATCTGTACGAAACCGCTAATCCTTTAATTTAAATTCGCAGGATACGTCTACAAACCCAAAAATAATTGTCAGTTAACTACATTGTAAATAAGTCAACAAATACATTTACTACATATTATTGTTATGGTTATTAGCTCTATCTGCTTTCTGAATTACTTAGGCATCGTCATCTTAACTGTTTGTAAAAAAAAAGGAATACACGCCCACCCACTTGCAAAAAATGTATTCGCTTTCTTCAAAGTACAATGCAAAGCCATTGGTGGTTTCCAAATTTCGAAATCTGTCGAACCTTCTCAATGGTAGACCCTGTTGAAATTGAGTTCAATTAGTATGTCTTCGATTTAGACTGAAAGAGCGTTGTCTTATATATATTTTCCGAGCTTCGCAATTTTTCTACAACAATTTTGGCAAAATACTTGAAGGTACAAAAATATTTTAGGTAATTTTTGTTCGCAGACTGTAGCGATCCAGGCTTTCCTGGAAGCACGACCGCAGGGAGACGACTTTTCATTCTAAATGAAATAATATTTTTTTAAATATTAAGAAAACGAAAGCAGCTGTAAGATAGCTTTTGGTTATTCAATTGATCCTTGAGGTCGATTTGATTAGACTCAGCGTTCTACTCTCCATTCGGTCCAAGTTCCCATTCGGTGTCTTTATCGTTACATATTTGCGTTGCTGCCAATGAGTGCTATATTTGTCTAGATTGCAAGCGTATCAGTCTATTTATTAGTCCCATGTATAGCGTTCGCATTAATACTAGAAGGTAATTCAACTTCGTCTGCCTTTTTTTTTTTGCGCTATCTTTTTCCTCTAATAATCGGTAGTTTTTCTCCTGCTAATAAAAGCTAACGTTGGGCTGACTAGATGGCCGCTGCGACTTGCTGCGGCCCCCAAAAGCAGAGCTGGGGTATTGCCTAATAAGAGTTAGCAGAGCCAAATATTTTGGGACCCACTGGCTTTAACGTTGACAACAGCTGCAGCATTCAACAGTCGATCATTTGGGCGCTAGGAGTGATTTGGTCGGCGATCGCTTTTCACAGAGCCGCCGCCGCCGCCGCCGCCGCCGTCCCTCTGACAGCAAAGCACAGCCTCTGACTCCAACAACCGTTGCTTCACGGTAGTAGAATGGAACACGGTTCGGTGGATAACGTTTAACCTATACCGACAGAATAAGCGACGCATATACTTACGCGGGGAAGAAATATACGCGTTATTTTGCTAAAAGGACGCCGAGTTTTCGTTGCAAGATAACATGAAAGCTAGAAAACGGTCAACTGGCAGGCCATTGTGAAAAAGCCAAATCAACGGTTTGCTGTTGCTGTTGTTGTCTTCTTGATGTGGCTTAGCGCCACGCAGTGGGATTACCGATTGTCTGTGTTCATTCTAGACGTTTGCTGACCGGCACTCGTTTGCAGAGAGCGACAGCAGGGTTGCTATGTCTATGTCAGTGCAACTGATCTTAATAGTGGCATCTGCTGCCATCGCGCTTTTTAGAACCGTTCAAAGTGAAACTCATCTAGCTTCTGATAGTCTCGGAGTAAGTTATGAGTTCAAGTTACACGTGGATGCTGGCCGAGAGGAATGCTTCTATCAGTACGTGGAGCAGAATGCCTCAGTTTACGTCGCCTTTCAGGTAAGCATTGCAGGTGCCAGCTGTAACGACAGTAATCATCAACAGATCGTTTTTCTTATTAGTGGTGCACGTACAAAATGTCCATATGTAGCTGGGTACCGAGTAGCGAACACAGAAATAGATTTGGCAGATGAGTCAGTGACAAAGAACTGCGGCCATGTATGGATATATGTGTGTGCGTGTGTACTTGTCAAAAACGTACATTAGCTAACGTGCGGAAGGTACTATAAAGCGAAGTGGTAAATGGCAACACTAATATCGAGCAAAATAATCGAAACTGTGATTTTATGATGTTCTTTTAAATACATTAAAGATTGAATGGATGTACTGAAGTCCCAGGACATGTAACGACACATTTTTTTTAGCAGTAAGCGATGCTCGTAAATGCTGCGTATAGATATATACGACAAAAGCTGTGCGTAATCAGCAATACATACATTTCTATGAGAAATGTTCACGCTGGCATAGCGTTTACCATCGCTCCAAACTTCTATAAAACTACTTGTTTGTGATATCACTTAACAAAATTTTTATATGGTGTCCTTGAGGGAAAACCCACAGGCAATGGCAAGGCCCAGAAACATTTTAATGCCTTATCTTAAGTTTATGGAAAGGAAATTTCAAATTTACTCCAATCAAGTTCGTACAGTTGTAGTCCGTTGCAATTAATTAATGAATATAGGCTGAAATAATATTATCTTCCAATTACTTATTAAAAAATTCCATCTTTAATTCCATCTTTCTACTTGAAGTGCAATACTTCAGTAGGATATGGTTGGTGTAGATATATTGAGAATATATTATGCTATTTTTTACACCAAAAAGCAGGCTTATTCAAAGAGAAAATAAAAACTAAGTAGGCATACTGTAACCGTGAACAACACAGATTCCAAAGTACGATATTTTTTTTATAAAATAGGCTGCAGTACTTCGTTATATTGTTTATTATTTAGAATTAGCGTACCTCGTCGAAAGCTATAATAAAGGAATAGTTCCTATAGGGTTAATAAAATATTAATATTTGAAAAATTTCGAACTTAAGACTCCAATTTCTCTTAAAACCTAATGACGGATTCAGGTGATCCGTGGTGGGAACGGACGTGCGGCGTTTTCTGTTACGTCCCCAACCGGGCACGTTCTTCTTCCATATGACTGGAAACCGTCAGCGGAGTTCGAAGAGCACGAGGCTGCCATAACAGGACATTATCAGCTTTGCATCGACAACAGTTTATCTCATTTTGCAGAAAAGCTTGTTTCGATTTACTTCAATTCTTTTAAACGCGACAACTGGAATGATTATATCGCCGAAATCGAAAAGCATGGTCTTACAGTCAGCAATTTCACGGTAAGAATAGAGCGAAAAGTAAATGAACTATAACTCGCTTTCTTTTAGAAAAAAAAATTTGATATCTTTCTCTAGCGCGACTGATTTTTAGAAAATAAATGCACCACTAGATAAACATATGACCGGCTAAAGAAGCATCCGGCCGGAGTAGCAGCAACTGTATCTTCACCCCTATCAAACGACATGCAAAACAATGTGCGCATAACTAATTTAGATGATAACCTATACACGACCCCCTTTGCCTCTAAGCAGGTTGTGTGTAGGCATATAAATAATTACTCTTATTCGTGTCGTATTAGTGAACTCGAGCTAGTACGTAACATGGCCTCGGTAAGAGGTGAGAATTTTTTAATTAACGTACTGTAATATTTCTGTATTCACCTTTTAATAACATGTGTGTGGCATAAATGTGTATATGTATATACATGCATACATATATATATATTACGTTCCATATTTTCTCAGGGTAGCAAGGTCAATGATTTAGAGATTCGAACCTCGTATGCAAACGCCTGGGCTGCTCTACGCGTTGGAGACATTTTTGAGTAATATAATTACCTGTTTATGCGCTAGGCCTCCCCCATCTTGTTTTGGCAGCACGTGGTTTCGAACCTGATCAGACAGAACGGTGTTAGGCATACCTGTCAGCCGAATGAAAATTCTTAGTGATTTTTTAAGGAAACTATTTGTCGCTATGTGTGTCTTTGTAGGTACATATGCATTGAGTGTACAATCCAATGATCTCGTAATGGTCAGCGCACGCGTTTGTGGTAGGCTGTATCGATGACTCTGCAAACTCCATCATCAGTACTATGACTTGAAGCTTTTTTATATCCACACCTATTGGAATATTCATAGATATTATTAGAAGCTATTCTCTCTTTTCCATGGAAGTAAATGCAGCGTTAATGACCTATACCATGATGATCTCGTTTCAGTCGGCGGTGGAGAAGCTAGAGACAAATCTAAATGAAATGGCGAAGTACCAAGAACATACACGCAACTCCCTTGTGGTTGACTGGTACCTTCTTAAAGGTAACAACTCATGGGTGCTCTATTGGTCGATATTGCAGTGTGCCGTTATCGTTCTCGCAACAGCTGGACAAGTTTATCTCATCCGGAGTTTCTTTAGCGATCCACGAGATTCGGGTGGGAGAAGCAAAACTCGAATCTGAATTGCTCTGTTTTCATCCAAAAGCATATAGAAAGCTCAATTAGCTACAACAACAGACAATTTGTGGTAGTTAATAATGAAAACGTGTGGGATTTTCAAATGTGAAAGGGTGCTCGTTAACTGGACTTAATGAGACAGACCTGTTGGTCTGGGTCAGGGTGATTCAGCAACATAATTATAACATAGATCGAGAGTGATGTGATGGATTGTATCCCATCTGGATATGTGCCCTGGCACCCTTTTAACACAGTATAAGAGAAAATCGCATTTCGTTATGTATAGTGTACCCTTGTACTTCGTATTTAAATATTTTTGCCTGTACAGTAAGAAAGCAACATTCCTGGGGCTAATATTTTCTAGCTAGAATTCGTAAGCAATTCAAAATCTAAAATTATTCTATATCTTCGGGCCTACAGAGGGCATTTATAGTTATCCGACCTGTTTCTATAAAGGTTTATATTGTTAAACTTCAGTAAATCGACGATACATTTTTTTTAAATGAGTGTGCCTATATACATCCATATAGATGAAGTACTAGTATATAATAAGAATGCATAGATGCATAGACGTCGTTGATATCAGACAATTAAGTGATGCACGAAAGATGCAGAGACTTTGTTTATTGACACCAGAGGGCCGCAAGAACGGAGCAGCTGTGTAACGAGTAGCAATCTGATGCTTTATTGTCATGTAGGACTTCGATGGTGATAAAATGCTACGTTTTCTTTGCTGAGAATCCATTTGCCGATATGCAGCCAAAAAACAGAAAATGCATGCCGCAATGTCTTCGCGCGGTTTGTCTCTCTCATTTGTTAACAGGTCTTTGTAGTTGTTAACGTGCAAGGTCTCTGTGTTTTTGCATCCGAGAGCCAAGCTATTGTTCTGGAGATATCTGTACAACAATCATACTGACATTAAGTATAATACGTATGCTGAAGTAAGAAAAAAGCGTTTTTTTTTTTCATAAAATAGTCATTTTCTGATAATTGATTAAATGCATATAACCGTGAATTTTTTTTTAAAAAAACATGTGCAAATATTACCTGTAATTCAAATTTCGTTTTTTTTTTACAATTACGTATTTTAAAGTAATCTATATAGCGACGCTTCTAATAGCGATGATAGAATAAAAGGTCTATTCTGATATCAAACTGTCAGGGAAGCATTACTAAATCGTGGTTGTGCAATAATCATAGAGTTCGTGATGAATGCTGTCAAAAATGGCATGTTATTCGATGACTTTCATGGGAACAGCTGGAAACTACCACGCGTTCGCATATCCCTCTTCCAGTGTCTCTACGTTTTCTCAATACAAATATCATTTTCTCCTGTTCAATGTCCTCACGAACTAGACTGGGGCTTTCATGTATTTTTTGCAAAAATGTAAATACCAAATTCTGCCCAAGGTTTCCTCCTTCAAAAACTAAATCTCTCTAAGATGCAAACCTTAGAGAGATTTGGTTACCTTTTATATTCGTTTTACTTCATTTAATCTTGTCACTTCTCAATATTTTTGGAGTAATCGCGTCATTACCAAGTTAGTTTTTCAATCAATAATTTGTGCTGTTCGAAGTTCTTTTTAACAGTACAAATGTTTGAGTTTCTTTTTCCTTTATATGTGACTTGAACAAATAGCATTTTTATAAATACTTGACTGTCTATGAACAATCTTTTTATCAACAAGTCCCTTATGGTAAGATGCAGGCGATGTTCTGGTACCGCTTAATAAAAGCCCTATTGCTAAGAAAATGCTGCCTAATACTGATGAAGGCTGTTATATGCGTTATTGAAATGGTGGATAATGCGTTTCCTTTATAGTAGTTATAACTAAATATTAAATTTGAATGAAATGAATGGCTTCGCAAATGTAAACTAATATACTATAAAAAGGGTGTTACATTGCAAAAATGTAGAAGTGTTCTCGCAAGTAGTCACAAAAAGTGAGCGATGTCGGGGTTATTTACTAAAAATGCTATATTCGTAGAATAAATACATCCTAATAAGTGTTCTAGCGTTTTTTTTAGTAAAGTATGAACTTTTCTCGTACCGTTCGCAAACAATTGATTAAAACGTCGGTCCCGGTACGAAAGAAAAAATTGAATTTGCAACACCTATACAGCGCTTTACTAGTCAGTGAGCTTCCACCTGGATGGTTGGCGAGCTATGCGTAGACTCTATGCTTTGTTTTCTGACGACTGCTTTTTTGAGGAGCTCCATATAATGTTTGTACACGAGTTGAACCGGCTTTCAGCGATCACATAGATGGATGACCTGGATGAGGTGCTTCATTTTTTTTGCACTCTGAAATATCGATTCACGCCACTCTTTTATTACTGTAGAGTCCAACGTAAAAATGAGATGAACCATGGACCGGTAAAATCTGCTAGTAACAATCATTAAGTAAATGTAGCAGAAAAAGTTTGAAACAAACCTAGTTCACCACCTAAACTGTCGTTGAGCAGAGTGAATATCTCAAGCATAACCATCTAATGAGGACAGCTCTTCTGTGGCTAACGAAAGTCATAGAGATGACCTGTGTTTTAATAAAAAAACGTATTTTGCCTAATATGCTACGGATAGTAACATTAACGAAAAAAAATTAGCATCTAATTTATTTCGTATTCAATGCTAACTTTTAATACTGATATTAAAATACACGAGAGTATCTTTCTAAATTACTATAAATAAGTTCTTGATCTTTGCCTATTGCCCCCTCAAATACGCCCATGAAAACGGCTCTAGTCGAAACGAAATATGCATATATATATATATATATATATATATATATATATATATATATTGGGATCGAACCATATAGAGTCTTTAAGATTAAAGAAAAATAGACTGTTATACGTAAATAGAGTAGTAGAACTTTTGCTCGCACACACTACCTAAAAATTCAATACGCTTTGGCAAATCTCTGTTTAATTGCATAATAGGTTCGTGCATGTGTTTTTTTTTTTACTTTATTTAAAGATTCCTCATTATTTAATTAAAGAGGGCTGTTTGAGTTATGTCATCCCATAAGTTTTCCATAAATTTGCTCTTCTGGCAAAATCTCATTCGTTTTAAAAGCTTCACTCCTGTATCGCATTTTTAGCACTGTCTTGTCTGTGTTTTAACGATCCACGCCTCCTTTGTGGTCTGCCACACATTTTGCTATCGTCGTTGCAATATCTACGTGTGACTCATATACTGACTTAACTGCCACCCTAGCATAATCCGTCCTATTAGATTTTCTCTATGTGTTACACACAACCCAATCTTCCACTAAATGTCTGTTTTCCGCTTCTTTTGAGGTTTTCGTTTTAATATCGTTTGCTGTAGCGTTGAAGGAGTGCATGCCTGGAGATATCGTACTGGACTTATCGGTTAGATGTCACCGCAGCAACCACTATTAGAAAGTTATCACACAAACCTACTTCTCCTCTGCTTGCCTGACAATGTTATTTCCTTTTTACACCTGCGCCGTTTGAATCTATTTTTTTTTTCAATTTTATTATTATTAAACGCTGGCGAATAATCAATAAATGTTAATAATTACTTGTATATACATAACAATGATAATAAAATGATTAACGTTTATCGATGGATAAAAGGAATTTAAAACATTATTCACTATTGAAGAAGCAAAAAGATTTCTGCGGAGGGCGCTCTTCCCTCAGAGCTCCCGGTACTTATACGCATGTTACAAATGCCTCTTGTCGCCCACTTTCGTTTAATAGAAATATTTGTACCCCACTAGATGTAGCGGAAAGTACGCCAAAAATCATCCGCTTTAATTTTCTTTGTCGTTTGACCATTATAGCTATAACCGAGAGCATTTTATGTCATGTAATTTGATTTTTTATGGTTATCATCCGATATCGCTGCAACTTACTCTTCATCCAATTTTTAACGCCCATACGCAAGCTTACTATTCAAAGTACTTTAAAACAGGAAGGCCCTGTAAAAATTGGTTTTGTAAGTCCTATGATATAGAACTGGAGACAAATTTCCCTACTAAACGAAAACGAATTTAAGGCGTGTATATATACCATGTGTAATGATGCATGTATACCATATAACATTCTACCTAGAGCGTACGCTTTGGAAAACTTTCAGACTCACTACATAACGTGTAGCAGAAGTAGTTAGTATATTACCACGATTTTTAGGCCCAATGTCCTAGTCAACGCGTTCAAAAAAAAGGCTTTTTAGAACATTGATAAATAAAGGAAAACCATAAAAATCGACTGTAAATACAGAAAAAAAAAAACACAAAACAGTTTCGAGCGCATAAGGAAGATTGCGGCACATATGACTTTAAAAAGTATTAGGATTCGCTTGTACTGGCCGCCACTAGATATCCTAGCGAGTATGCATCGCACCGCAACAACAACTCAATGAATCAAAGCACCAACTCAATGTATCAAAGCCGCACTGTTACGTCTACTATGATCGTCAGGTGGTTTAGGTGCAATCCTTCTTACCTTCAAGCGGAAGCTTTTCCTTTGAATTCTGTCATAAGTAAAGCCGCTCAACTCTTTTAGACAACTGTAGCGCATTGTCCCTTTAATGTCAATACGTTAACAGTCTTCGAGCTTCAGACGAAGATGCAGATATGCCTTTGCATTGACTTGGTAGGTCGTCTTTGTGTCCATTAGATTTTCATATGTTTACAGCAACAGTTGTTATAAATCAAGTTTTATCAGCATTTGATGTTTCTAGTGCTGCACTATTACGCATAATTTTAATAATGAGCATAATTATAATATTCCTGGTGATATTCACCAGTTGACACCCTATGACAATACGGTAGGATCAGCCAGCAGACCTTTGTATTTTCACGGCTCTTGCGAGGCGTAAAAACAAGTCGTCCATATTTTGGTAGGCTTGTCATCTCATAACTTGTATTCCATTCAGATGAGCGGGACAATTTGCACCCGTAGCAAATTCACAATGCAGTGCATACTCAACGAGGCGTAGGTCAGCTTTTTCTATCAGTGAACGACGTAGCTGCAACCATACGAGATTGGTGTTTCCGTGTATCATGTCAAGTGTTTCTTTCCTTGCTGCTAAATACCAAACATAATCCCTAGGACTTCGTAGAGCATTACTTTGGTTGATTAGTGAAAAAAAAAAACAATGTGGGCTACGGTAACCATAAGCTACCCACAAAGGTAGCCTGTAATTCAGTACTATTGATTTCTAAGCGACCTACCCAGATGGACTACCGTCTTTATGGTTATAAGCTCTAGTCCTTGTTGAAATAGGATACCCAATCCCTAAAATGGGTAAAAGGCAGCATCTACTTCTTGTTTTACAATCGAATGGATGTCTTCGCCGAAAACAGAAATTTGTTTCAGTTTCTATTCAGTTAATCTGTACACATACTACGACATTCTCACGGTTAGAGGGCCCCTGACTAGCCCTCCAACCATTTTGACCGCTGGTTCCCATTAGAGCTTCACTAGTATTCTTCCATGCTAGAAAAAGGCATTTTAAACGGTTTTGCTTTTGTAACTATCTCTTGCGATCTTGCAGCCGTTACAATCCGTGCATACCTCATAGGCTTCTCCTTTCTGCGTACGTCAAGCAAACTGCGCACTTCAGCCAACAATACGAAAAATAAGTTAATCTAAATAATAAACAAACAATATGGGCGAACGTCTGAGTTCGTGTTAGTCCTGATAATTGACAACGCCACTCTATAGGTATTATAAGACAGTTGTGAGGCGTTCTGTATCTTCCAGAACGACCAGCGACTGCGGTATTCGAAAGACAACCGTAATCAACGAAGACAAACGGCAAAGAATATATTCCGTAAACAGTCCGACAAACAAGCCTACACACACAACATACAATATAGATAGCAACAAACGTGAGTTCTTCATTTTTTCAGAGTTCAGACCCCAGCAATGATTCTTGATGACTCCCATTTCCGACAAAGCTATTTATCGCCATCCCTTACTCATTCAAGCAGTCTTAGACTCTCAATTAAAAATAGTAAATTACTCAAACAATTTGCCCATCTGTAAAATTTACTGGTTTAGTTTCGCACTGAGATATTCCTTACCCCATTTACCTTTGTCTTACATTAAATCTTAATCACACTTATACATATGTAGTGTTAGTAGAGCTGCTATGTTTCCATTTTTCACCGAAAATATATATTTTCTATACGTATATATATCTCTATCGAACATTACCATTATCATCGTCATACCCCATATGTGGCCACGATAGTTACAAATGAACAGCAGCTAGATTTTACTACGTATGATGTTCATATTTGGCTGCAACCGCTATTAATTAATTGGCTCAGGAATTCATTCAAGGGTTTTTCTTACATAATAACAGGATTCCGCAGTAAACAGTCATTATTATCTTTTTATAATTACTAGCTTATTAGCGCTAGACTTTACGAATCACGACTATGGAAGGTAACAGTCCTACCGGTTAGAACACTGAACGATAAACGTGATGTCTGTGAACCTAACGCGCGTCTAGAGGAAATAAATGATTTCAAAACGTAACTTTGCCAATTTTACTAACTGTAGAAGCATTGTCATTTGCTTTCTACTCACTCGGAAACCAATGCGCTTGATACTCTTCACTAAACAGTGTTATTGGTCTAGCATAAAGTTAATCCCTGGTACCATGCCTTCGGTAAGCAAGTTACAGCATTCGACAACCCAGCATTCACGCCGTTAAAATGCGCTTCGAGACATCTGCTTTTATTTTTTTTACCGGGCTATTCACAACCTCTCTATGCAATGTTCCACTCGTTTTTTCTGTTTGTTCTTCCGGGTTCTCTGAGTTCCGCCCGGCCGTTCTAGTTATATCAGCGTAATTCTTACGTTACATTTTTATCGACTGTTTGTTACATGTTTATGGACCTACCTCGAAAGCCACCCTTATCGGAGACAGGTGAAACGGTAGGTGAGTGCACACTTAAAGCTAATACTGATGCTAATGGGCGACTGACTGAGGACATGGTTGATCTAAGTCTTTCACCCACTGGCCCGCCTGTCGCCGGTTAACACAAATCGCCCGCCGGCCCGGGAGTGCTAATGGAAACGTTAGCGCGGTTCACGCAGTATAAAAACCTATCTTTAGCATATAGCCATCATCTAGATGGCACAATGACTGTAACTTCTAACAAGGGTCTAATATTGTTTATTTCATATCAGAATCAACATTCTCGTTAATACTGCCTTGCAGACTACCATATCGATGGAGCCCTCCTCCGTCAGCTCACTCATCCACTAATGCGAGTTGATCGATGCAGGAACAGGCCACAGAGCAGTCGAACTAAAGAATGTAATGCTGATTTGAGTAGATTTTGTCACTGCCGTCACTGTTCTTATTTATGTGTGACCTAGTGCCATCGTATGATGAATAGTGAACATAATGTTGGTTGCGGTAGAAAACTTGTCTAAATATTCATCACTTGGGGGCGCGGTCTCTTTCCGCAAAAATTATCTTCGCAATCCTTAGACACGAAATGGCCCAATTGTGTTCTCGACACTATATCACCAGTATACTGATTGATTAGCTTAACGTAGAATCTATCCAAATAGAGTATCATTAGTTATTTTGTGATAGGCGGTGAACAGCCCAACACACAAGTTACCAGCCTTTGCAGGTACAATACTGCTCTAGCTTTTAGTTGATTTTTTTCCAGTGGCCTTCTACTTCAATAGAATAAAGACAACAACCGAAGGCTAAATATACCAGAAGTGGGCTCCCGGGCCACCGTTGTTGGGGTCACACAAATGTTGCATGTTGTGTGCGTTACATAAGGCACGATGATGTCCTTTCTGTAGTGTTCCATCTGCCAGTCATCAACACTTTCACTTAAAATCGTCACCTAAAGTCTCAGTCATCGCTTCTTTCTTTATATATATATATATATATATATATATATATATATATATTTTTTTTTCCTAAGTGGTCTCCAACTGACATGTACCCTACACCACGTTTTTCACTTATTGTATTCATTCTGTTTTTGCGATTATCTAAAGACATTACTAAATATTAACGTTATCTCATTTCCGCGCCGAGTAGAACCTTTTTAATCTTTCATTTGGCCTATTGACGCGTCCACGTAAAAGAAATAAAGTACAGGCGAACCAGCACAGCTCCCCCTTTGCATATTGTCGTATTTGATCATTGTCGTCCATGCAAGGTTTTCTTGCTTTCGGTACTGGTGAACCTCTGCAGTTAATGGCCACATGAATCCTGCTGCAGATCCTAAATTGCTTAGGGGTAGTGCTTAAGTATACTTCAGCGGCATTCCCAAATCTTGATCTTTTCGTCTACGCTGCCAGTGACGCAATATGGCGCTGTCGGGTGAAAGTCAAGGCTTGTGCAGAAATGTTCATGAGCGTCCAATGTTTTTGAACAACGGGCTGTAACGGTAGATAATAAAGGCACAAATAAGCTGGTCAGAGGTTGATAACAACTTCAAAATGGAGTGCCATAAGTAAACTCAACATGTCCGCGTTTATTGATGTTAAATATATCGCTGTTTTATACACTCACCGGTCTTGAGGTCCCATACCCGAACTGTCTTGTCATCGGACGCACTAAGTAGGTACTTTCCTCCCGGATGGAACTTAAGGCTACGTACCCAGTTGTCATGTCCAGTTAGTGTTATTAAGCATTGCCCAGTCGAAGCATCCCAAATTTTGATTAATTTGTCGCGGCTACCCGAAGCTAAGAAAGGCCCTTGTCTCTTTTTATCACCGGATGCATTCTGCAACCAAAAAAAGAAACAAGTATTTACGCATATAGATGATCAACAATTTATATTGCATACACTATATATCATCAAGTACATTTATCATTAATTTAAGTTCGATGCGACAAACTTGCAACCTTGTAAACGTGCCTGCTCCTTTACGACTGGATTGATATTTCCTTGTTAAAAACAATAACGAAAGACTTGGGTACAAAAAAACGACGTGCAACAACTTTTAAGCAGAACTGTGGATATATGATACATGAAAATAATGATAGCGCGTGCTCGCAATTTATAATCCAATATTCTATAGGAAAACACACAAATTACATTTCTCCTTTTTCGATGAGAAGGCGAAGCAACAAGAGCTAAAAAAACATTACACTGACATCAGGAGCCGCAGCATGATTGATAGCCTCAATAGCGGATGCAGGCGCCCACGCTATGCACTCAACGGTATTGTCATGTTCACGCATTTCCTGTCGACATTCTTTTGTCTCTAACGCCCACACTCGAATCGAGTGATCTTGAGAACAAGAAGCCAGAAGAGCCCCGTCCCAGTTGCAAGCAATCCGGCGAACCCATTCCCGGTGACCTGCAATGATAATGATAGCCGAATAGCAGGCGCATTTAGCCTCGAAGTGTTAAAGATAATATTTCAACTGCCGAAACTAATCATTTACCATAGCAGTATCAATGAACTTTATGGGACGCACGCATTTTACTAAGTGAATCACATCTCCGTTGCTATCTTGGCCACTGCAAATAGATGAACCCCTAGTATTATGGCAAAGTATTGTCTAGAACGTTGTTACATATGCATATAACACAGAAGTAATCCACAGCCAATTAAAATGGATTTGTCGCGAAACACGAAACATTTTTTGAACTCGTCTCATGAGCGGAACAATATCGACGGATCGCTCATTGCCTCTTTCTACCCAAAATCTAACTATCTTGACTCCGCAATAAAGTTGGTCTGTTGACCTTTACGAAGCATATGGATAGATTCCTAGCACCCTTCTCTCGAAAGACTTCGCGGAAGATATGTATAGGAAAATTTAGGTTACATTATAAAACTGGCATTTATGCACGAATTCTTCTTCCAAGGAAAACTGCCTTACCTGTGAGAGTCTTGACGCAGTATCCGGTCGCCACCTCCCACACTTTAATTGTCTTGTCTCTCGAGCATGAGATCAAGTGGTCACCTGATGGAAGAAAAGCCACTGAGCTGACATTATGATCGTGACCACGCATTGTACGTATGCACTCGTAGCTTTGGAAGTCCCACAGTTTGACATTCATGTCAGCCGAACAGGAAGCTAATAATTTTCCACCATGTGGATCGAGAGCTAAATCCTGGACGACATCCGTGTGGCCTTTGAGCGTTTTTTCAAAATCCCCACTCTCGTAGTCCCATAGTTTTATAGTGGCATCTTCAGACGCCGAGATTACTACAGAGTATGTGGGATGGAATAAAACAGCTGTTATAGGAGCCCGATGCCCTGTAAGACAGTATCTGCAGCGAAATCCATTCGGTTACTGTTGAATTACTGAACCATTGTTGTTTAACCATAAAAAATAAATAAAGGCATACGAAAAGCAAGTGATCACAGAAAATAATATAAGCTGTTATTGTACCATGCAATGATTACGATGTGTCCGTATAAGCGTACCTTCAATAACGATAGTTTTTGCTAAAAATAACAGAATAACTAAGAAAAAGAACGGCATGTTTCCCATGATCAGAATACTTCCATTGTGATTAGATGAGTTCAGACATGTTTTATTTTTTAATATAGAAAAAAATATTTACCGTTCAGGTGGTCTTGGAATCCATTCAACTGGTGTTCTTTTATCCCTAGTCGGTGCCCCACTAATGTATTCCTTTTCTGCTGCAGCATACTTGGCCTCCATATCCATCACCTAAAAATCATTCACATTTACTCAAATTACGCAAGAACAGAGAAAAATAACGAACGTGGGTGATAATAGGTTGCTATGGCAACCGTTGTACTTTTTTTAAATTATGCTCTTAAAATATCATTTTAGGAGTCATTGCTCCGCGTCAAAAACTGGATTACTGAAAAATTCTAAGCATGAGTAACCAATTTCTTAATACAGTATATTAACTGACACGTTTTTTGTAAAAGTAGCTAATTATTATTAGTGTTATTTTCCAATTTCCAATGTAAATAGTATTGGCATATGTGGTGGAAAATAATTGCTCTTGGATAGAAGAAATATCCGAAGCCATTTGTATGTTTGATCTTAGCGTAATCGTGAGCGTAAATCAAAAGTAATTCTATGCCAAAAAGGCGCAAAAGTACAAAAACCATGAAAAGCTATTTTTCGGTCAGCTAATCAATAAGTGCATCTGTATTGTTCCGTGTAACTTGCCTTCGGTTTGATGTGCCTAAAAATAACAACAATAAATACGATATGAAGTCGGGTCCTGATTGGAAGTAAGCCTTCAATGGTGAACACAGCTTTTCGGTTCATTGAAACATTATAGTTTTAAAGCTATTTTAATCTCTATGTTTAAATTTAAAAATGGATGCTACAAGCATCATTGGGTCAATCTTAGACCTAACATGTACTAACCTAACCTCTCTCTGTAAGGGAATAAAATCTAAAAATAACGTAAGTGGACATTGTTCTAAAAGAGAAATAAATCAATACACTATCGACCCGATCGTTGTTCGTACTTTAAACGCTACTGGTTCTACCCGCATATTGAACCGCTAGTATGCTACAAAAAAGATCGCAAAACCGGCATTTAGTCGCCGCTATTTTCAAATGCAGCGGACTCTTCTGCGAGCAAATTCATTAAGTAAAATTACTTATAACATTTCATTAAACAAGAATTAGATTACCGTTTTTTCGTAATTGAGTTGCTAAAATTTACCTGCTAACCTATTTGTGCTACGTATGGCAAGCACCACAATATCTGAAGGTATGCTATTTTTTGCTACACTGTACTGATATCTCTAGCATTTATATCCACGTCTGTCTATTTGCCAAATTCTTCTCGAATAACATTTTACCGCGGGCCAGCATTTCAACGAAAAACCTCTAGGCGCAAAATTTCATATATAAAAGGTTTTGGCCTAAGTAAACCATTATTTCGTCCTTTACAATGTGTTTATCGTACAAGATAGTGTAGATATGTACGCAAATAAATGTACCTCACCGTTGAAGACGGTTGGTTACTATAATACACGCAATTAGGCGCAAAACGAGAGAACAAGGATAGTTCAGTAAACAACCTTTTTTTGAAGACGGACAACTGACATCCATTTCTTTTCGAGAAGTCCTGATGCTGTTTTATCGATTTCCCCATTCAGGTTTGCTTCTCTCTTGAATGCTTCCAGGGCTCCCATGAAACCTTGCGAGCTGAGATAGTCTGCAATCGCCTTATGCCTGGAATTACCGCAAAAGATTGAAAGCAATAAGAGACTTCATTGAGCTTGAGATTGATGTCAATAACTACTAGATCTGACGGTACAACCACCTAACGATTCATCGAGTCCCGTTGTCATATATTTGTAGCCTAAAATCATCATGATTGTTCTTTGTGAAGAACTACTACAATGTTTGTAGTGTGGGACTGGCGCTTACGCAAACCATGAACAGTCGAGCTGCCGTGAGCGCTGAGGTAATTTAGTGTTGAGCAACAATTACAGTTTAAAATTATATTAGTCGTTAAATATAGAATCCAAACTGCATACTAATGTCTTAGAGAATCTTTTTGTTTATTAGTAAATGATCAGGTATGCTTTTTGAAATTTCGCGACAGCTAATGAAAGTCATATATTCTTCTATTTCCTATAATAATGTTCAACAAAGTCGATGACGACTGAGTGTCAGAAAACCCGGCTGCAAAAGGGTACTGTCAGCCAAAAGAGATACCTGAACTGGACGCAGTCCCAAGAAATTTCACTTGGAAAAGTGTCAACACGGGCAACTTTTGGCGGCCGTTCTTCCATTGTGTGCACCCTGTATATAATCAACCAGCAGCAAACGTCACCAACACGAACTAGATGTACCACAGTGGATAACCGCAGCTGCCGAAGATGCCTAGCACAGACTTCTCGGAAGTGGAGATTTTAGAATTTCTAGTGCATTTTTCTTAAAGAGTTAAATACCTCGAGCATCATTAAAACTAAAAATTTATCGATTGACGGGGTCGAATTGATGCAAAGATTAGGAAAAATCACTGCATGCAATTCATCGTTCTTTTCACGGGGGTAAAACGGACATACGAAGTCCATCGGAGGATTCATCAGGGTTCATCCAGGGAAATGAAATTCGGCACCCCACCATAATCGGGTCGAAAAATGGTGACACATCTATACTGTACATTTCATTTCGCTGCTATAGGCCAAATAAGCTTGTCGAACAAGTATAACACAGGTCCACTATATGTCGATGCTTGAAATGCAATTTCATGTGTCGGGTGGCATCATTCCATCTGCTCCAACTTTACAGTTCCCTTACGTTTGAAAGAACACCGTTACCATGTTCGCTACGTAATTTTTTCACGGAACAGAGAATCACCGTTAACGCTCTAAAACTTCAGATGGCAGACACGAGTCCCACCTGACCTAAACAGTTGGTTCCCATAGCAACTAATCGTCACTCCATAATGGATCCGGCGGCACAAAACAAGACAAAGACTCACCGCATGTTTGCACCCGTAAATAACTATTCAGTGCGACGTTTGATTATCTTAAGCCAGCTTTTAATTATGATGATCAAATGCAAATATATCAGCAGAAAGGTAAATTTAGTGCTTTTGTTACCATCTACAGTTATTCTATATTGCTACTTTGTCTAAGTGCCCGTATATATTTCTTAAATTAATTGTAAAACCTATCTAATATATGACTAAGGTAATGACTATAAGCCTACAACTAGTTGCTTGCATCAAACAAATACTAATTAACATAGGGACTTTAGAAGACTCAACTACAGATAGAAGACTATGAACCTTATAACTGTAATATAAATAATCATTCCTCTAAATGCAGCCTGTATGCTAAAGTCTGTAAAATATCAAACATAGCACCTGCACTATTAAATGCATGTTTACCCAAATTCAAGCACCCGTTAGAGGAAAGGTGCATGATTACACAAACGAAGTGTGAATAATACCATGAAGACCGAAAGCACCTCGATAAAAAACTGAACCGCATAAATTTATTTCATTACCAAAATCCGACGGGAAGTGAAAAAATAAAATGCCTGCAATGAATATATCGCGAGCTAAATCATACAGAAAATGCTATATTTACTTAGAGAAAAAATCAAATCCCATAGACGAACACACCCCATAGACGAAATAATTATGAGGTCTAATTGAGTTCGTTTATTGGACACAATCGAATACCTAAGTATTTGTGTTTTTAAAATGAAAACTGTGCTACGCCGGGAGTCCATTAGGAGAACCGTTTTGAAGAGTTGTTTAGCCCTATTTCGGTACCTGGTGCACTCTTGCTTATTATTGCTGATCCAGAACGTCACTTACTTTAGGCATCCTAATTTCAGTATTGCTTGTGTATTAAAATAATAAAAAATAGTGCCAAACTAGCGGACTTGGCGCCACAAATGTATATCATTCTTAAAACGTGTCTATTGTGAAGCTCAAAAGACAGCTCCGCACTTCGCCTGTTTAAATCCTTTCACTAAATTCATGTTTAAATCCCATATAAATCACTTATGCTTGAACAACGGTGTAGAAAACTAAAGCGTATACTGAAGAGCAATTTTTTAAATAAGGTGTTTCATGAGAAGTGTTAAAGTGTGCTCATATTCAGAACTTCCGAGGCTACGGGCGGCCCATGCTCAGTTGCTACAATAAATATTATTATTATTGTTATTATTACTTACTTATTATTATCTATTTACTTTACCGACGAATTCGCAAATATACGACCGCATTAGTAAGAGATGCTAAATTAAATTGCATGTTTTTTATAAAAAATGTTGAAGATTTCAATAAGCCAATCATTTTTTCAAGCACAGTGATCCGTCAATGTTGTCCGAGTTTGTCAGTACTTAGAAAAAATGTATGTTTCGTTAGCTTGGTGGTTTTTACAATGGCTAAGTCAGACCTGGGTTAAAAAACTGCTGTTTCAACTTAGACCGAAAGTAAATATATGAGCACGTCTACACTTTACTTTTTAACAGCTTTTTAGCCACATAAAACATAAGTTCAACAAAACCAACCAGCTTAAAAACATGTTGAAAAAATACCAAAGATAGAAAAACTGCGAAATAAATTTGTTTAAAAACACGACGGTTCAGAGAAATATGAAAAACATGTTCTGCTATTAAAAAATGCCATGGATTGATTTAAAATGGGGAGTATTTAACAGAAACAGATATGTCGCAATAACGCCACCGAGTCACAGGCAGTTTGCACCAGATCGATTTACATCCGGATTTAATTTTTACATTTGATCTTCCATATATTTTCACTGCATGGTTTTATTCGATTTCCCAGACTTCTTCTCTAAAACATGGACAAAAATTTATGATTACGTCAATGTTAACAGTTAATAATTTTTACACTCATACAAAAAAAGGTGACAGTGAGTAGACAACAGGGCGGCTTGAAGCATACTGCTCAAATGTTCGCAGCGATAAATATCGTCATCTATATGATGCTCTATTCTTCTCAAATGTATTGTTCTACAGAGACTAAGCGATCCTCCAAAGTGTGTCTTTCTGCTTAAAATTAATTCTCAAAATGCTTCTTTAAGTTAATCAGCTTCAATAAAATAAATGTGTAACTGCAACTGAAACGAATTGATGTTTTAATAAAAATAACTGGGTACGTATTGGGTTAATAGCCAAATTTTGGTACAGAAGTGGAATTGATATTTTGCAGCTTAAGCGTTACTGACCGTTCGATGTCCACACACTCTCCTCCACTCCCCTGACCTCTTCATGAATAGACATTAGCTAAGGTTCTGCTCTTACCCAAATGTCTAAATGGCAAAAATAATACATGAAGCTAATCTTGTACCTTTATTGAAGATGAACACATTATTGTATAATTCCCTTTCTTTCTAATGTAGTGACTCGTTTGGAATAAGAAGGACGTCTTCAGTGAACTGCTCACGTAGTGAAGTGGAACACCATTCAAAGAGATGGCTGAGAATCGGCAGGTGATAATCAGAATTTTGATACCCGGCAGGTTCAACAATACGCAGGCCAATGGATAATGTAAATGATATTTCGGAATAAATGATGATTGTCGTCACCGTGAGGATAATGAGCTTCTCTTATGTCAGTTTATAAACGTATGTGCGTACGTTGTATGTGCAATACGTATGCGTATACGCGTGAGCGATGTGTGTGCGGGTGTATGTGTGTCTGCGGTGTGCGTAATATGTTAAGTGTGCGATATGTGTCTATGTGTACGTATCTGTGCGGCGCGTGCGTATGTAACGTATATGTGCAATATGTGTTTGTGTGTCTATGTGCGGTGTGAATGCGTGTATGTACATATTGTGTGAATGCATATAATGTGTGTTGTCTGAATGCGTGAAATGTGTATGTGTGTGTCTATGAGTGTACGTATGATGGGTAAGTGTTTTGTGTGTGTTAATAGTAGCTTTAGGTGTATCTATTTTATACTTACAATTCCTCCCTGGACTTAGGTGAGAGCACCATTTTCATACCGCTGCTAGAAGAACTGGGTAGCAGTGCACCGCTAGAACAAATAGGCGGAGCGACGCTCTACCTTATATCTTAATTCGACAAAGTAGACGTCTTGACCGGAGTGTCGCCGGCTGGTTTCCTCTATTCCAGTATTACTATGGATTGGCACCAGCAGCACCAGGTTATCTTGCTAGGTCTCTTCTATAGGCCTTCTCGTACGTTAGACATCTAACGGATAGAACTGCTTCACTCACAGTCGTACGGTGGTAATAGTTATGCAAGTGAATAGCAAAAACACATACAATGAAGCTCTCGCTCGTTCGTTGTTAAACTACACACACACGGGACTGGTTGGCATGGCTGGGCCACTAACCACTTAGGCAGTAGGTCACCACGGTAGCAGTAGTGGCAACGGAAGGCCGTAGTCCCAGAGAACCACACCAATACGACCAACCACCATCAGCTACGATACACAGGGAAACCGATGTAGACAATCAGACAGATACAGACTACGAGGTACGTCTGGTACGACACTACCCTAAACCCAATTCCATCAATCAAGAGAGAGAGAGTCACAACAACGAGACGAGACAACACCAATCAGCAACACCACCTAATACAAGTAGCCTAAATCTACCAAGCAATCAACAAACCACCACTCCTATATTTGTGTATCAACAGCGGGAGCAGAATACAGCAGAACACTTCTACGATCGTCGTTGTCGTCGTCGTCGTCGTCGTCGTCACAGTCACAGCCACTAGCCGGGACGAAACACGAAACGGCAAGTGAGCAGGCCGGTGTTGCGCCTTTTTTCTATTAGTTTTAGTAGCAACGGCGCTTAGTAGCAGCTGGAGTAAGCAACTGAGCTGTAAAAAGCTCACGGTGGTACAAACGGAGACGGCTCAAACAAGTTGACGATGAACAAAAATAAAGTCTCCAGCGGTAGTGGCGCGTATAACTATATAGCCGTTATTACAGCATCCACAAGAAGCAATAGAAACGCAATGACAATGTTGTTAATAGACAAAGACAACAGGAGGGTTTTACTGAAGACAAACAGGCGGGTGGACGTTCGGGCGCCTACTATTGAGCTGAGCAAGGAGAAATTTAAGCGAAGTAGCAAACTGGGCGATGCCTTTACTACTGAACTATTCTGCAGCTACCCCACCGTTGAGCTTTATACACAAGAAAAACTCGTAATAACACTTGGAACCGCCGCAGAGAGCCAAACAAACCTGCACATTATGTAGAGAAAAAGCGCGCGGCCGACCGATTAGCTGGAGTGGTAAGGGGAAAGACAGAACAGCTATAAACAAGCTGAAAGGAGGAGGAGGAACAGTTCAGTGGTAGCACTAGAAAATTAGCTCAGTTAATAATGATAGCTCTGTTAATAAAAAGCCGCGATTTTTAGTTCATGTTACCCGGTATCTAATAAATGAAAACACGATCCTGAATCTTTCAATAACAATGCTTACACAATCAAAACATTGAGAAACCGCTAACAAAATGCAATCAGTTAAATGTAAAATATAAAAAATAAGCATGGTTAAGGTATTATGGCCTACTTGTTGCTGGCTTGATGGAATACACAGGATCACACATCGGACAAGAAACACATTCGGTGCTATTTTCGTAACAACATATAATACGAGAGTAAAGCACTTTAGTTACCACTGTTTAATGTAAATGGTCTAGTTTCGTATTATAAATTCATCAAATCTAGAAATCCTTATTTAATACGTTGTTGTTCATATTTGTCATTAACTCCATAATATGTAACAGTATGATCGAAGTGGGTTGAGACTTATATTACTTTAAAAATAAACAGATATTCTCTTGAGTAAGACCCGTATTTATTTAACCAGTTGTCGTGGGAATTTGAGGAGGTTTTTCTTCAACACTACCATAACGAAAACCGCTACTACATGTATGTTTGTCTTTGCAGCGTTTTGCGTACACAGGTACCGTCGCATTAAGTTGCACCATCCACAGAAATTGTTGTCTTTATTCGACACAATCAGATCTAATTTTAGCTTCACTTTTTACATCACGTACTATAGGCGGTACTAGAAGTACATCGAGAGATCGACTATTACGTTTATGTAACTGTCTCCAGGATTGTATTTATTTTCTCTTTATTTCTATAGGAACTGGGCCTGTTTGACTAGGTACAGTTTGTTTTAGCAAGGGAGCTTGCAATACAAATCTCCCATTACTTTCCATAGTAGCTGTAAGTCCGTCCATATCAGCAGTGTTAGGCACCATGAATGTACGTCGAATCTGGAACAAAAAAGAAGCAGATATTGGTTATAGTTATCACATTGGTCAGTAGTAATAGTAGCTCTAATTGAGTTTAGTAGTAGTAACGACATTGGTAACTAATAGAAATAACTTTATGCTCCAAAGCGGACGCAGCACAACATCATTATTTAAAAATAGGCATGTAGATCGAGGTACGAATAATAGTTATATTAACATAAATCACTATGCATCTTCACTGTTAATTTACCAACAACTAGTTTAACTTAATATGCATAAAACTGTTTAGAAACAAAGTACAATTTGTTTTTAGAAAAAGAGCGTTAAATCTGAGGTTTTCCCAGCTAGTTGGCTCTAAATCACACATTTCAGATAACATTTAAGTCACATCGTTTTTACACATTTAAGGCCTGACAATAGATGCGCTAAGTTGTGGAAATGTACTTATTCAGATTTCTGATAGCTGTCTAATAAGGTTCGTTAACTCATTGTAGATGCGCTATATTTCACAAGTTTATTACGATAAAGGTAAAAAAAATTGTGTTGTTTATCTTATGCGTTGATGCCGCCTGACAAAATAATTGATTTAGATTTCCATTGTCCAAAACAAGATAGCTGTGAGCTATTCGAAAAAGTCGATCGGAGCTAATAAAAAAAAATGTTGTATATACCACGATAATGTCACACTACATACACCCTGCTCGAGAAGGATTGAAAGAACTTATATAGGAAATTTTAATACATCCACCGCATAGTCTGGATCTTGCGCCAGTAAACTGTAATTGGTTTCGGCTTTTACAAAACCCCTTAAATGTATAATTTAGTTGTGACAGAGGGATGCAAGAATCACTTCTAACAGTTTTTCGCGCAGAAACCACAGAGGTCCTACAAAGACGAAATTACGGTGTTATTAGAGAAATTGCGGAATATTATTCATCAAAAGGGCACATATTTGGTTTAGTAGTGTTGTTTTAAAAATCAAAAAATATTTGCTTCAATATTGGTTTAAGATCATCAGTACACTTTTGAGCACTTAATATGTCAGGGCCCTAATATAGCCGTTACCTCTGAAAGGGAATAGTTCTGTCCGTCATCGGACACGTGTTCCTGACGAGCTTTCAGCTCCACCTGATGACCAGTTACGTTCACTTCTACGTTTTCTGGCCGAAATCCTCTTCCGAGATACAACTGACACTCGAGCTACAGAAATATAACGAAGTACGAATGGTTAGTGGCAGCATCAGCGTTATAAAAACGACTCTCTTAACATCAGCTATGACTGGTATCAAAGAGAGCTGGCTACTATAGATTAAGTCGGAAATGTACTACACATGTCTAAGCGTAACACCTACACGCCGCGAAATTAACGCAAAGATTTACTAAATGGGTAAAAAATAATGGCATGAAAATATGTGAGAGATATTCGAAATTCATATATATATATGGGAGAGGAAGAGAGCAAACGAGAGAGATTGAGAAAATAGATCGAGTAGTTGAATTCCAAAGTTCGCATCATCCCTTGGTCTTAGAAAGTTGTGGTTTGACGTATATAGCTGTTTTTAGCTAGGTTTGACTCACACAAAAATGTTTTGGGGACCTTTAGCAACAACAAAGTATCGAATGTGACTGCTAGTCACTCATTAAACTTTCAGCAGATTTGCTTTTCTTGGCAAGCCGACTGCCCATAGCTTAGCGCCCCGAGACGTTCTCATCCAGCGCTTCGATATACTTTACTAGCAGTAGCTCTTTGTTTAGCAAGTACATAATCGAGACGAAAGTACAAAAGCAAAAGCAACATCAAGGGAACTAGCAAAAAAATTATTGATGGATGATGTATAGTTATAATCATGCGGATAACCCATAAACCAAATATCTCTAATATTAGCGCCTGCCTCTCGTGACATACATAAAAGCACAAGATGCGATATTTATGGCCTGTAGGGTAAAAATCCAAGTACCTGGTTTGTACGTGGATTTTCGCGGCACACGGAATCAGGGCCGCTAGATTGAATATTTAAAAAATCGTGTAGATCGTTCAAACGTTGCTCGAATGGAGTCGATGTGGTTTCCCATAGATATGAAGGTGTAAGAGGAGCCATTTTAGAAGGGGCACCACATTCGGTACATCGATCCTTGCCAAATAGCAGCTTCGAGAAAAAACTCATGCTGTCGAAACCTCTGTTAACACCCTAAGTTTTAAGAGCTTTTCCGCTTATTTTTCAAAGCAAGAATTCGTTTCCTAAAGCATGTACAAACAATATCGCAATCAATTTAGATTCGTGTTAATAACGCAAAATCTTACGACTTTTTTCGCAAGCATAACTTACTAGAAGACGCGGTACCAAATTTGATTACGACCGGTATTTGTCGTATATGCTACACTAATTACACAAATATTTACGTCAAATACAACAACTTACAATAAGTATTGCTCAGAAAGAGTGAAAATTGCCACCAAGATTCATTGCATATGAAAATATGTTCTCAAAAACAAAAGCTTTAATCGCCAACATAAACGCACTGGGTAAAACATCCAAAGCCAGACGTAATTGTTATCAATAACGGCAGATAAAAATTGAAAAAAGAAGCTTCTATCATATTTAGGTAATCAGTATATGATAACTGGAACACAGAAGTTGAATACATGGTTCATTTGTACCTATCCTGTTGCAAAGGGTTAGGGTCTATGTTTCCCTGCTTGGCTGTTATTTTTAAATTATGACAATACAAAAAATTCCGAAACGATCAGGGCTATTCTCACAAAAGATGTGCAGGGTTTCTTTCCGATATAACGCTACTCTTTTGCTGAAAAACACTCACAGACATATACTTTAGAATAAATTCTATTGAGATTGTAAATGTTTAAATTTTGATTACATAAATAAAAAGTCGAACGAATTGGTTCATTACGGTCACGCTAAATGCTAAGCGTTTGCCAGGTCACTCGCAGCGTTGGTACACGTTGCGAAAACTATTCACACAATCAGTCTGAGAAATGTGGGGTGCAAAACTTAATGTTATTTAACTCTAGAGCATAGCCGCATTAGAAGCATCATGACGTCACGAAAAACATAAAAAAAAAACACAAACACGCATGTTTTATAAAAAAAAAACACACATGTCGTAAGGATTGCATTATATACGTGAATTCCAAACCAGCTCAGACCTTTTTGCGGCTAATCCCTAGAAAATCCTACCCTCTTATACAAGCTCTCCTCAAGCAGATTTAAGAACTTTCCTAGACAACAAAAATGTAAAATCGACGCGTAATTACGTTGTTTTGATCCGCGCAGAGCCAGTCACTCTTTTTTTTTTCGATATTTCGCCTCGAATTATTGCAATTGTTCGAAGGACAACATCCCAACACCGGTTGGTCTTTAGAAGTAACTCGCGGGCGGCTGTAGAGTGGAAAACGAATAGGTTTTATAATAGGATTCGCTATATCTGAGGTGTTATAATCGTGCCTTATCTTTCGGCCGTCTTCCAAAAAACCAGCAGAAAATCGATCTTGCACTTCAAAGATTACTATAATAGTGCGAATATTCTAAGAATCATGCAAATATATCTATTTACGTATTATTCATTAGAATATTCTTGCCTCTACCACTTTCTTGAAGGTATGTTTTTGCTTTGATTTCCTTTCTGTTCATTTTTAACATACATAACAAGTTAACATACTCAAGGCAGTATTCATATCATACAGTTTACCAGTAATATAATTGCTATTGCGGACCTTACCATTTCATGCAGACTCGACATCTTAGCTACACATAGAGAAAGAGCCCGCTCGGTAGTGCGTGTGTCAAAAAAAAAAAGTGTCAAATTATATGTAGGTCTATGACAACTTAGGCAAATTGTATAGCAGATTCTGGCGATATGATAAGAATCAACGTAACGGAAAGCTTCAGAATAGTTGATGAGAGTGGATTATCAAATTCAAAGTGAATTAGTGATGTTTAGTATAATGGCGACAAACGATCGTAGCAAACTTATAACTAATCAGGTGAACTGTAAGAGCAGCTCGTAATGGCCGTTGGGGTACAGTTTAGGAGCATTCGCTGATTTACAACGTAGAGGCGCTTTTCAGTACTAAGGTACAATTTGGGTTCACCTTTTTGATAAACATGTTTATTCTACCAATATGAAAATGAATTCGGTATCTATAACGGTTAGCTGAAACAACAGCAGTAATAAATCAAAGATACAACCGTTTCAGCATCGATAAGGTCACGCTGGAGAAAGATGTATGCGAGAATTTCGAATTTACTAAGAACTAAACTTGGTTGCTTTGAAGACATTTGGATGTCACATACAGTAGTAAGTACATCAAGGACAGCAAAATAAGTGGGAAAGTTTGTTACAAAATACCATGCCACAAAGCGCCTTGCAATTACGTCGTACATGTCAAATCTGAATAAATACCTTACGTGCAGGGATACTTACACAAAGAACGGTTGCGCAAATCGCAGGAATACTAAGACTACTGCCAAGAATTGTGATCGTCCTCCCAAGAATCGACACAACTTTTAAAACAGTTGATTGTGCATTCTGAGTGTTGAATCGTTGGCTGTACAATAAGCTTTATAGAGTTACTTTCTTTCTGGACATTCTGTCTACTAAATATTTGTTCTTTCATTTTCTCTTTGAAAGATGTGTCACCTTATTTCCAACGTTCCCTGAAGATGCGTTTATACCGCACGAAACCACGAAAGGTCGTTAGTAAACACTGCGTTTATACCTGTAGTTGGGAATTTCCATCGTTTTCTAGTGTTGTACGTTTAGCCGTTTCAAACTTGCAATGATAGGCCCGTAGTGTTAAGTAATATGAAAACATTTGATTTTAAAATACTCAAACGTAGTTTTCAGCAGTCATAACTGAAGAGCTCAACCGCTTCTGTATATATAAGAAACATTGGAAAGAAACCTAGACGAGATTTTTAATCGGTCGTATGAACATCTCAAATTTCGTAATCATAAAAGCAAAAACGAAATATTTTTGCACTAAGTATAGGGTGGAATAACGGAGCAGGTTTATCCTGTCAATATAGTATCGACCCTACACGGCATGGCATTGTGAACCCAATTAAGACAACCCGACAACGACTGTATGAATATAAAACAAGAGTTGGTGCTTATCAAACTAAGTTGATCAGATCAGACTAAAAGAAAAAGAGGATCACAGGTGGCCAATAACCTGTCATCGTTTGCTAAATATGTCCATAAATAAGTACGTCCAAACATTCTGCTGTTATGATTTTGACCTAATATCTTTTAAACAAGTAACGTCTCAAACTATATGGAGAAAGAAACAACCTTCAAGTTTATTGAACCTTGCTGTTCATATGCATATCCATATATATCGTATATAGCCGCATTCAGAGTATTGTACAACTTTCAGGGCGTTTCTGTTCCTATGTACACAAAATGAATGATTTCAGTTAATGGCTTCCAATAAAAAGCGCGCCCTTGCTTTACTTTCTCCCTTCCTGTAGTGCTTTTTATCAATCCATACGTAATACATGTAAACAGAATCTATATAACTGAATCAGGCGCGCGCCTCTTCCAAGCGGGCGAACGTGCTCTTCTGTTTTCTGTTGTTATTGTCGGCACTATAAGCCACAGTTCTTCTGTTTTGTCGTCTCTGTAGCTGCTACTTAACTGATGTCTTGAAGTTCAAATGTTCCTCGTGATGATCACTACTAGGCGACACGAAATAGATACACTATGAATCACAATCACCCAATCAGTCAAGGAAACAAACAATCAATCAATTCATAGATAAATCTACAACCAAGCCATGATCATCTACCAACAGTGAAGAATACCTCTTAGACCACTCGTCCGCTACCCCTTACCCAGGCAGCGGGCGAGTGCCTTTCTAACGAGAGCCATACAGCTGCGTAACCGACCCATGTGCTTCTGTTGTCTGTGCAAAGCCTCCGATAACTGAAGCAACAGGACCAAGTGCAAAAGCTGTTACTTCTGCAGCTACTGTGTCCTAGTCCTTCGCCATCATCATCATCATGATCACCATCTGCACACTCCCTCATGTCCTATCCCGAGACCACCTGCAAATCGGCAAAAGGCCACACAGTGGTGTCTCTTCCGTCCATCCCTCCATTTGGCTACGCCACCAACCAACCGCTGACTGATTACGGAGAATCATTCATCGTCATCAACATCACTAAATCGTTTAATTGATATTCCACCTGTTTGTTTTCTATTGGTTGGTGTTGTTAGTAGACGATGAGCAGCATAAGCAGCGACTTCTGTTGAAGTCATTAAAATTTGCGACTCCACTCCTGTTTCTCCTCCTTATTTTTCTTCGTCTAATAAAAGTCTTGTGGACTACCGTTGGAGTATGCCACCGTTGCGTCCATATAGCCGAATCCACATAACTATTTTTTGGGGGCTTTTTCATATGTATAAATACGTAGAAACAATATAAGATTTCCACACAACTTCCAGAAGGCTTACTTGCAGCAGTGTACGTCGAGCTGTGTAAAATGTTAGTGCCGCGTTCATTTGTTTGTTACGTTGTTTGTGGCTGTACGTGTGTGTCCGTGTATATATATACTTTTCTGTCTATCTATATTGAGACTATTGATAGAAGGTGTCCCGCTTACTTAGCCTTGAATTCGATTACAAAAACTGACCTCCACCGAAAAATCAGGTCAGTTTATGAGACGACGGTTTCGATTACGACGGTCCTCTTCCTTTTGCTGAAAACATATCAAGCGAAACACAAAACAGCGTTATTTTGCAATTAGGTTCATTAAAATCTGTGCCTAATCACTACCAATAGAAACATGCCATCGCAGAAACTTCAAATGAGCTCCACTACTTGAAAAAACCACTTCGTTTTCCTTATTACGATTACAGCGTTATTGTATTCTTAAACCACTTGAATATCTACCATAATACCTATAGCATGCTCGTGAAACAGTGTTTTACCTATCTATATCACTTCGATGTACAAATTGGATTACAAACATAACCGTTATCCTTTTTCGAAATGATCCCATATCTGTAGTATATTTTACTTTTTACGAGTTGTTTTTGGGATTTAAATGTTTTGACTATTGTGATAGTGATCACAGGACAGGTGATTGCGATAGTAGATGGTTGTACCACAATGAAAAATTTAAAAACCAGGTCTTGTCCGGTCCGTTGCTCGCACGCCATAAGGTTAACGCTATTCGCCGAATTAGTTAATGCGACCTTATTTTTTTGACTAAACCTTCATAACGTGTACTATTATTTACAGCTGTCTCTATGTCGTAAGTGCTCACCTTTTCAGCGCGTATTTTTGCCCTCTCCAAAGCTTCGGCCTCTGGAAGTGGAATCCAGTAGATATTCGGCGTAGCTTTTGTTTTTCGAAACAGATCTTCTAATCGCTTCGCCGGCGCGGGCTCCTCTGAATTTGACTGCTGTCGGTGCTCAGGTTGTTGTTGGTGCTGTTGTTGTTTAAGCTAACGGGTTCGAAAAACAGGAAAGGTTAAGATGGCATAGAAATCGAAAAACACATATCTAAACGGCGCAGATTTGGTTCTTTATCAAAAAAGCCGCTAGTTATATGGTGATGAATCTGATTATACATGGAACAAACATTTGTTAGTTTCAGAAGGACTTTATAAACGATACACCTAAAAAGGCTTAAGAGCTTGGTGACGTTTCCTAATTTGAGAAATGGGAAACGTCACCGGATATGTAAACATTTTCTGATAAGGCTATTGAAATAAATATTTAGAAAAAATCTCTCAGGCTTTAGTAGTACTGAGTGTCTAGGAATTTATTAATTAAATGTTTGTACTATTTTTAAGCCCCTAAGTTTGACTTCAACGAAGAATCTAACTTTCGATCTTACGCATTACCTTAGGTAAATCCCATTCACGGATTTTTTTGGTAGCAACGGGTTGGGACTCTACGTCTGCAGCAGCTGCCTTGCGTCTACGTGACTCCTCGCTGACCTTTTTATCTTTATCCTTATGTACGATCTCAATGGTCTTACGAAGATCCCCATTGTCTCTTGTTTCTTCAGACGGGCCCACAACTATCCGGGTACGTTCCTTAGTCACCTCCTTTACTTTGTTTTTATCCTTATCAAGATTGTGAGAAGAGTCTCGCTGCGCGGGAGGTATCATTCCTGTTTTTGTCTGCTCTACTTCTTTTTCCGTAAGAAACTCGCATTTAATCGTCTGCAATATTACCATGGATAAATGACTTGCTTCATTATATATATATATATATATAAAATTTTTCCTGGCCACAATACCTATGCACTTATACCCCGCTTGGAGTCTACTTCTATTATCTGTCTCAAAATAAACGCTTTGGGTACCTTAGGGCTGCCTTTAGGCCAGACGATGTTATGCAGTTCCTCACGAGCTTCTCTAGATGCTGACTCATCTGTAAATTCCACAATAGCCTTGCTTTTAATGCGGTCAAGCCAAAGGTCAGAAATAGATCGTGCGCCTGCGTGTGTTACCAGATCGGTTAGTTGACTAAGAGTAAATGGTCGCACAAGGTTGAGCACGAGCAAGTGACGCCCAACAGGTAGGCGTGGCGGAGTGGCCGCATCCCGTGGTTTACGTCTTGTCGTTTCCAATTCAGCCCAATTGGTGGACCCGAGTGCCAAACCAGCAGAAGGCAGCTTTGTTTTGCCTGCTTGATATCCCGAGTCCTTCACCGCTTCCTTTCCGCTATTGTCCCCTGGAGTATCATCGCTCATTGAAATGTGTCGTGCCCGTCGCCGATCCTCCAATTCGGGGTCGTTGGCAACGCTTTTCTTGGTATCTGCTGGTGTCTCCTCAGGTTGACGTTCCTTTTCATTAGAGCCTAAATTGCCCTTATCAGCGGCCAACAGACTCTGTAAACCAATATTGATAGTCTTATAAATGCTTCTTATACAATTAATCAAACATTGGTTAATTAAGTTAATTAGTCGACTAGAACTATTAGATTTGTGCAAAATTGTAGAACCATCTGTATTTGTTTATTACCTTCTCGTAATAACTTTTCGTTTACAGACGGCCAGGTTTTATATACCGTTAAAAAGTTGTTGTTCTCAAAAAAATTAGGTTTGTTGAAGTTACAAAGCTTTTAAAAACATATATTTTACGTTTTTGTATTGTCGAAGAGTTGTGGAATTTACAATTTGTTCCACTTATAGTAAACACTTTACAGCCAAAAAATATTGGCGTATATAAAATAGCTTGTTTCAAAGATGACTCAAGGGTATTTTTACTGATTTTGAAAAGTAAAGATCGGTCCGCTCTTCAAATTGAAGATGCCATATTCGAACATCGGAAGCCACCCTTGCATAATACTCTTAGCTAATTAATCTGCGTTATACATGTCACACCTAACCTGCCTTGTCTCGACAATTACCTGCTTTTGATAAAAATGCAAAGAAAAATGTTGAAAATTCTAATTTTTGTTATTAGGTATGCCATGATTGAGGCCAGCCACTACTTGAAGGTGCAATGTTGTGATTAGTGCATGGTCAGTACGACAAACTGTTATAGTAATGGGGAACTTTTCGATGTTTTTGTAACACTTAACTGTCATAAACGAGGCATGAAAAAATGAAAGCCGTTGACATACAACGTAATATTTTCCTATTTCTTATGTGTAACCTAGTGCTTATGTGAAACTAGATCATTGAAACGCTTACCTTCGTAGCTTCACTGATCACTGAATCCTTTTGGTCGATGGTATCCTTTTTGGTGACTTTGGCCTCCATCTCCTTGCTCAGTTCCTTTAATGAATCGGTTGTAACAATGGCCTGTGCATGTTCTTTAGATGGAGCTTTTTCTGCTAGTTTACCCCAGCGATCTCTTGGGCCCTCTAAATTCTCCTTGTCTTTATCAGGGCCACCTTCCTTTTCTGCAGGCCAATGATTACGACGTGATGCGCGCCTCTTTAGCATTTCATCGAGAGCGATGAGCTTTTCGCTTGAAACTATGTCCTTTGAGTCCTTGGAAGCGCTTCCATCATCCCTCAAATTCTTACCTTCCCCTTTACATGACGGCTCATTCGTACGAGAATTCTCATCTTCCTCCTAAAAAGTTTCAAAATTTTTATCATCTTGCACTTCAACATAAGCTTGCCCAACCCATAACTGAAAGAAGTATTTTGAAATTGATCAAAATAAATAATACAAAAAGTACAGAATGAGGGTAAGTGATTGCAATGAGAATAAACAAATCGATTTTTCTGACCTTAGCATCGTCATCATCTCCATCAAGGACCTCGTCATTCTGAACCTTCAGTTGTAGTTCGTCTTCAATTTCAAAATCAAGTTTCTCTTCCTCCACCTCCATTCGAAGCGCTTTTTGGCTTTCAGGGACGATCGGCTTCGAGGATGATGCTTCAACTGTATCTTTGTCTTTGTTACTAATTTTTTCATGTCGTTCCTGCAATTAGAAAACCTAGTTATTTCAGTTTCCCGTTTGACTTTATTATTGCCCTATTTCAATCGATTGTAAGCCTGATTTCTGCTCAGATTTCTGAATCAATACACCAAACTAATTATATCTTTGGGACACTATAATTTTTATGATAGTATCGCTTCAATGCTTGGACCTGCACTGCGGACGCTGTGGCTGTTGTACAACATGTCCTTCCCGCCTTACGAGGGCCGTCGAGGAATGTAGCCTACTCTTAACGCAAGAGAAGGTCGCCAGCAGAATTTAACCCTACTTATGAGGTCAATTTTTATCTGCCCCATCACCGCGTTTCATCACCTTTCATAAACTACTACGAGTTTGCTTATTGCTCTATCCAGCGTGTAACATTAACGGTGCTACTGAAGTACACTAACCTCACTAAGACGCTTATGCCCACGACTAATCGGGTCCTTCTTCGCTTCTTCTGCCCGTTTCTCCCTTCTTTCCACTTTGTCGACGTCCTTTTGTGGATGCGATTGCTTCCGCTGCTCTTTGGAAGAAGTGCTGCTGCTGGCATAGCCAGCCATGCTGACCTGGTCGCCGGCTTCATCCCGCTGATCGTTGCCTTTACCGCTTGTGGCCTCCCCATCCAGTGGCTCTTCAGTGTCCTCCTTTGGAGTGCGGCGAGAGCGCGCTGAAATAGGCCGCAACAAAAACAGTCTTTTTCAGTCAAACATACAGCATACAGGCATTCATGCTCGCCATTTCTTAAATAAAATAATATTTGCCAACGGGTTATTAAATAAGGGCGATAAACGCACGTTCTCTTTCTCTCTCATTTAATTGTAGGTTGAAAGATTCATAGACCTTGTAAGCGAGCCAGACGAATTTATAATGGATTTATCTCACACAGAAATGCACCCTAAACTGGCTATCTGTTGCGGTGTAACAAACTGGTCAAAACAAAAAAGACGAAATACAATAGCTAATTTATACGATTCTTATTTGAAGTTTTTCCACATACCTCTCTTCGTAGAAGAGGAATGATGCTCGCTTTCGGTCTCGCCTTCGCGTTTCTTACGGCCACCACCACGGCCTTTTTCCTGAATAAGATTCATTGAAACTCGTTACGTGATTCAATCTCAATCTATATACGCAGGAAACGAGTACGTGTACACATTAAAAACTGTATCATCAACTAAGGTATTTGTTAAGAGTGCTTAAACTGCATAACCTGGCATATATATTCTTTCGAAATAAATCATACCACTGCTTCAAAAAAAAATAGTATTACTGTGTATAGCTCTGCGCGTGTAGCACAGACTAGTTTAAAGACTCTTACCCAATAATAATTAGGAAACCCATTAGAAGAAACATACGAGATTCAAATTAAAAGTACGTAATCAAATTACCATAAGAAGCCTGAGATTGTAGGTATACGACTGACGTCATAGAACCCTTGCCTTCAATCGCTATTTTACTTGCTAATTATCTTTGTAAGACTTAGGTTTGCAATGATTAAACGAGATAAACTGTCTCCGTTTCATTTCAATACTATTAAGTGCATTGGATGAAACAGTGGACGTTACCGGTACTGAAAGAGTGACGTCGTTAAAAATGATGTTAAAACTATTTCTTAAATAGACCCTTCTGCTTATACCCTGTAATGTTATTACATTAATGGCTGCCTGAAGTACTATCAATAAAAACTTTCGATGCGCAGTTCATTTTGCCGATAGAGAAGAAAAAACAGTAGTGCATGACTACACAAGCAGCACATGAAAAAAACACTTCAAAACTGCGTGTATTCACAAAGATCTGGGAAACTCTCAATGTATGATGATTAATGAAAGACAAATAGTGAAATACTCATAAGCCCAGTCTATCCATCACGTATAGTTGCACCAGCAACTGGGCTAAAGGCAAAGTTAAGATTTCTTTTCTCACAACAAAACCTGTCTGATTTGAAGTAAGTGATTTCCCAGATGTCCTAAATATTGTACCCAAGGAAAACAAGCAATACAATATCTATCATAAAGGCGTATCTCCCAGCCGACTGCTGAGGACCTTTATCACTACTTTGAGTTTTCAGCAGTGAAAGCCTTCAAGGACAACCTTAGGAACTGCGAGCGAAAATCTGCAGTAATCGATAGGGAATGCTTTGTTTGGGTGCGATTAGAAACAACAAGTGGGAAAAAATGAACCATCTAAACATACATGTCATCATGAGCCTGATGTAGGTGCTCCACATACGGAAGAAATTGTGCTAGATATCTCACTCATGGCTTCACTGCTGTCCGGCGAATCTTTAATTTCAATAAACTCAACATGATTCGTATAAGCCCTATAGCGCAAAGTGTTCTAAATGGTTATATATACTAACTTTTATACAGGGGTATTGTGTTGGTGACTTGTGTAAATAAAGTTTTGACTTCTACTAGCGACGGTGAATAAATGAAGCTTGATTGACTCGGCCTAAGCGCTATTTCACACTAAATTGGTAAAACAGAGAGTTACTAGTGCGAGTATGTTTTCATTTATCTGGTTTTCGTGAGAAAAGCATACGTCGAAATGATAGGGCGAATACACTCGATATTAGAGACTCACCGTTCCAGTATAATCAATGGATGCCACACTAGGAATGAAAAATGAGTCTTACAATTTGTTACATGTATAAAAAAAGGTCGGTTTCACAAGCCGAGCTCTAACTGTCTTCCTGACAGTTAGAGCTCTGCAAAAGTTCTGCCGTATATAATTTGAAATCACAAATTAATTTCGAATGACTTACATGATACTGTGTAATTATAAAATCTAATATTGTTTATGATTTCTCTAGGGCAACTTTATAGATACCTACGTCTGAAAAAGTTACAATCAGTACACAAAAGGTTTGACAGGAAAAATTTACCTACCGTTATTTCCTGTGATTGCTGGGTATTCTCTCCGTCTGATTCAGGCGTGTTTTCCTTCGGTCGAGGATTCTCCTCCTTCTAAAATGTAAAGTAAAAACGCAATTTGAAACATCCTTAAGAGGGCAAATGGTGTGCAGCAAATGTGTTTTTAAATCCTCGCTAGCGTCTGCGATATGCGTTGCCGAACGTTTGGAAAGCTTGCGGAATTATATTGAAACAGCACGTCCGTTTCTTAATTTTTCTACAAATGCCTATAATATTCATGCCCTTTTGCTTTAACTGCTAGTTCTTTTAAATATTCAACATTTGTCGTACCCTAGATATTTACCAGCATTCCATCCTCTAGCCAAAACGTTATATCATGTGAATATAGATACTCACTTGCTCCGAATCCCTATTTTCGTGCTTTCGATTCCGTCGGGTCTTTTTTTCTAACCTGTCTGACGTATCAAGATCCTAAAAGATGTCACAGATTAATGAAAAAATTCGTATGACGTCTCTTAGCTTTCATGCAGTTAAAACATCTCGTTAGAGAGGGTAACATACATTTAGAAATTTAACTATTTAACAAACGGATTCATCTAAAATGATTCCTTTATTTAATGGTTTCGAACTGCTCAAAGTGTTCTCAATGTAACAGACTATAACGACGAGTTATAAAAATATAATCTATTTAATGACACAATCGTTGAGATTGAGAACCGTATAGATATATATATAATCACAATTAAAAAAATTCAAGTAAGAATCTTAAGCATGGTGACGATGTTACAAGGGGACAGAACCTACCTGACTAGGTGTGTCAACGTTCTCAGCATCTTCTGCTTTAGTAGTGGTCCGTCGAGATCGTGTGGATCGGGCCATCTTCGAAGGTGAATAAACCCCAAAATTAGAGCGAAAAACGTTAAAGTAATGTAGTGATATTCGCAATACCATGTTAATTTGCCTCATTTCAATTTTTCGATTTCGGATACTTTCGGTTACACTCAGTAAATAACGACAATGACTATACCATTAATGAGTAATGGAAGTCTCATTTCAGTTATTAGAAGCTAGACATGTAATTTACCAATCATGTAAATTCGAGCCATTTTACATGCATAATATAAACATATGTTTCAAATCGTAACATTTGGTGGGTGACTGTTGCTTTTTTTTTTGATATATAAATAGATATCTGGAGTGGTTTGGGTTCAAATGATTCCACTTTATGCGCCAATCTGAACAACACAAGCTCAATTCATACCACAACAGGAAATAAGAGATTAATGCGCGATTTTGAGAAAAAGCGATTAGAGGTTTACATCTCTCAGCAGTGTAACATGCTACTGTCGCAAGCACTTCGACAACTCTGTCCTTCAGGATACAAATAAATGAAAACTGCTTTTTCAGTAAATTTGGCTGTTAATCCCCCTATACTGTGAAGAATTTACTAACATTTATAATACGCCTACAGATTCAGACTGTAGCTCGTTTGTAGCTTTTTCATTCTTGGTTGTTCATTAAACTAATTCATACTCGAATACATGCCCCCTAAACTACAGATTTAACGTTTTCATTTAACTTCACAAAGATTTTCTCCTGCATAAATTCACACTACAGCCATACATACACACTAGTGGTCGGATGCTATGCGACTATAGGACTCTTTAGGTGACTAAATTTGTCGCATTGCTCCCAAATGTTGGACATTACTATGGTTTTTTTATTACTACTTGGAATAGATGTTCTATTCAAAGCGATTGCACGTACCTTGATGGCGTTACAGTAGCTTAATAACGGGTAGCCAACAGTAACCTCTCCTGATGGAATCACCGGTCTTCAAAGCAAAAACCCGTGTAGGAGTGACTCTTTAAGAGCAGGAATAACGTAGTAATTAGACTATACCACGAGCGATGTTCACAGCTACAGCCAATTCACGGTGCTGGTTATTATTGTTATTATAGAATCAATGATGAGATGAACGCCACCTTCGATCTGTACTCGTCGTCAAAGTTCCGCTCTTTTAGCAATGCGGCCACTTTTTTTCGGAACCACTGTTTCGATGCCTTTGGCCACTTGCGAACTGCACAAATAAACATCGATAATGTTGGGGAACACAGTTCCTATGATGCAGCAGGGTTGTCTGCTCACTTCTAATGCTAATATCGACACTGCAGCAAAATCAACACTGGTCGCCCAGCTTTGCTTGCTCGTTCATAGACAGACACCAACATTGGCGACCACGCACACAGACTCTCAGAGATTCATTATTCAACGGACCAATTTCCCAACAGCGCGGACATTTGAAATAAAGAGTAAGGCTGCGGTTAATTCGGACGAGAGTTAAAAATGGCTTAGCTGATTCAGAACCTGCAAACATTTATGTAAATGTTTTTCGTGTTTACGTTCGTTAACTTACATGAGATGTTGAACTAGCTGCAACGAAATGCCTTCACCTAATTTATAAACAGGTTAAATGATGAATAAACCCTGAAAAAATCTATGGACGCCATTTATTACAGTCACTTCAGGAAGTTTTTTCAAATATTGAGTTTTGTTTAGCTGTACGTTGACGTTAACTTGCAAGGCAGATTTTATTCTAAGTCTCTTTTGCACATAATGATATAATAATCGACGTAGGACAAGTACTGAACCTGAGCTAGAACAATATTGAATGAAAGCAAGTATCTTATGTGCTTATATGGATACTATCTAGGTCAGTATCATACAGAACTGTAAGACTCGGGTTGCTCCAGAAGAATTTATTATGCGTATATCAAATTTAGTAAATTGTATTATCAAGGCTAAACCTATAGTGCAATAGGGCTTACCATAAGCGGAACTAAATTGGGTGATGCGTTAATGAGCATCCCAAGTCTGTAGATACGATTCCATATACCTTGCAAATTTTTAACGATAAAGAGACGACAATTATAAAGCCGCTAGTCACTATTAAGTTTCATATACAGACATGTCTTAGCTCGAAAGTGGCTATATCTTTATTGGCGGCGCTCGTTATGTTCCTAGAAAAAAGAAAGCTGTTTTATACCTTTCCATATTTATCAGGTTTAAAGGTGAGTTCTATTTAGACTTTCGACGTTGTTATTTACCAATGCATGCAGGATCTTTCTCACCGATGCGATTTTACTATATGGAAAGCTCTCAGCATCGAGCGTTTTTAATCATGGCTCATTATTTTTGATAAGATTGGTAAGAGGCTCTTGACAAATTTGTGACACCTATAAAGATTTTAGAAAAAAATGTGTTGGACTGTCTGTAGATAGTTTAAAAAAAGGTACATGTTCAAAACTAGCCGCATTTGATATGTAAATAAAAGTGTAGTATTAAATGATGAACGAATTAGATTGCCAGTAGCAGACTGAGAGAAAATCGGCCAACTCAATCAGGTCTCGTAGAATTATATTCTCTTTGCTAATAAGCTTCATCTTTCGCTGCGCAAAAACGCTTGTGGTATTTTTAAAAAACGTATTTACCATCTATTTCCACACAAATAAACTCGGAATATTGAACAAACATTTATCGTATCGTTTTGGAGAGGACCTTGGGAACTGCAAAACTCGGTTTTTCTAGTTGGCATTTTCAATATAACATCAAGAACAATGCAATGATGCAAAGTGCGCGTAATAGTATCTGGGATTAAAAAAAATGAGCCGCAAAATATCATTGTGATAAGAACATGAAGGTACAATTTATGATAGCATGAGATTTTCTCATGCTATCGCAAATTGAGATGAGTCATTTTTAAATAAGCTCGGTAGTATAAAAGGTAAAAGGTTGACCAAAAGGGGTAATGAGGTTGTCTCAGAAAATAGCTTATATATATATATATATATGAAGAAATCTTTTCGATCACTTGATTTATATTTGTGTTGTCCATTAAGTGCGATAATGAAAGATACAGCCATAAAGGCAGCAGACTCCGTCGCTTATAAGCTTTAAGTGTTTCACGGATTTTTTGTTCGCATTGTAACTATTTCTGTCATTTGCTCTTCGAGGGCAACATTAAGTGCGACAGAGCTAACTTCGCCGTCCGGACAGGAGAACGAAAAGGCGCTGGGATTCTTGTTGTCGTTTCCGTCATTACGTTATCGTCGTTGTAGTCGTCTGCTGGCTGTCAAGCAACCGATCGAACCATCGACAAACACATGAGCGGGACAAACAGACACTACGAAGCAAGCATGATACAGACAGGCAACGACTAACAGGCCTGTGATATTCAATCGCCAGTAGACGGGCAGCTATCAGCCTCCAGCCGGTAGTTGGTTCGGATTTTGCCGCTGCTGCGCCGCTGTGTGGTGGCCGTCTGCGTGCGACAGGAGGCTGTGTGTTATTCAGTCATAGCAGCTATTTGAAGTGCTGGTTGTTGAGCAATAGCTGTTACGTAGGGAGCGGTAGCATTAATAGAGCGTATACGGTGTGGAGACACAGACAAAGCAGCAGTTAGGGGGCGTGCAAAAAGTTCGTCCATAGATCGACCTGCCATGGTAAGAAGCCGAAGAAGGACATTCTGAAAACAGCGAAAGTGTGAGGTGTGAATTGATAAAAGGAGAACCAGTCCGGCAAGTGAACGAATTTTGCTGGATGTCATAGCACTCCGCTTTATAGTCTCTAGCGAATTTTGTGTATTTTTTCATCCATCTCAACACTGATCACGGACTCTACGCTAGCAATTACTGATTCGTTCCATCGAGTGCGGTTTCGGGTCTATGATGATATTGATGATAATGTTATGTATCCAATAGGGAAATAGTGTGTTTAAGAAATAAGTGGACTACTATTGACGGAACGTTTTCCCGGAAATATTCCAGTTAATGATCATAAATTTGCCATTGAACCTCAAGTTTGTGTTTTGCATGGAGAACCGCTTCGCAAATAGAAACAGTGTGTCCATAATTTTTATTGCCTTAAATATCTAACATTTGACTATTACAAAATAACTGTTTAAAACTTAGATGTCACTTATAAATAATTTTATAACATCCACAAATACAGAATGCACAGGGACACAATATACGACAATCTATTCCTAATATCTATTTTTAGGTAGCTGATTATGTAAGCTGGACGCACTTCAAGTACGAAATAATTCAATTTAGACCCGAATTTAAGGCGTATTTGTGACGGAATAAAACTCTCATTCCACTACACGAAGCCTGCAATGGAACATTGAGCAAAAAAGAAATCTTTTAAACGAAGCATAAAGGGCGCAAGCTGAAAGTTTAACCAAGTATGATTAAACGAAGCATAAAGCTTTGATAATTTACTAATATTCGAACTATAAATGTATTTTGCAAATTATATTCTCGTTTTTAATATCAATAAAGGAAACAAAACATCAAATAGCTTTATTTTGATCTGTAAAAACTTAGGGTAAGCGTACAGGTTATTATTAATAACATCGCAGTTGGCACTGCATGATCTTCAAAACGTATTTTCTTCAAATTCTCCTTGCTGTACATACGCCACCGCTTACCTAACTAAAATGCTTGCAGATAATCTCTGCCTAATCATTTCATGATTTTGACGTCTTATTTCTTGCTCAATAGTCGGTTTAATTCGATCATTTCTCACGAGGCCTTGTAGGTCGCACGCTCACATTTAGTGCCGTACTTTAAATGACAACTAAGTGAGCGGAGCTAGCATGTCTAATGAAAACTTTAACTTTTATAGGTGAGTTCTTTTATTCGACATGTCACTAGGCGCCTATGAGAGAACATATTCAATATTTATTTTCATATGCTTTTAGATTAATTTTGAAACAACGAAGCATACATTGATGCTTTACTATTACTGGAAATTAAGGAAATATATTACATTGACATAGATTAGTACAGAAAAGATATTCAAATAGAAGAGTTTGCATTAAATACAACATACATTCATTTACAGTACACAAAATTAGGTACTTTGCATAGTCTGATAAATACTCGTTCTAATGTAAATTATAAGAACAATTATTTGGAAAGAAACAAACAATTTATTTAAATATATAAAAGAAAAATTCAAGATGAACCACGTCTGATAGACAAATGAACGAAATTGAGTATATGCAGTTGCATAGATGAAATATTTCCGAAGGTGTGTATTACTAGATGCAACTTCGATGAAAAATGAGAGAATCGAACATATATATTTTTTTATATATAGATGTGTATTAAGCGTATCGATTCGAATCGTGTAATCTGATAATGCCAACACGTGACGTTAAGTTAATGAATCATTTGTCTCTACCTGCTTTTGAAACCATGTAACAGCCCGCAACCCCGTTGACTCCGGGTGAAGACCAGGAAAAACTTCTGGACGATGCTCTTGCAGTGGTTAAGGTGCAAGCGTTTCAAATGAAGCGAATGCTGGACAAGGATAAGTTGATGGAAGCTCTTAAGCATGCCAGTACGATGTTGGGCGAATTGCGCACCTCGCTTCTTTCGCCCAAGAATTATTATGAGCTGTACATGTTGGTCACTAATGAACTTTGCCATCTTGCCATTTTTTTAATGGACGAAATCGACAAAGGAGTGTATAAGGGTCGAAAAATGAGCGACCTCTATGAGCTGGTACAGTACGCTGGCAACATCATTCCACGTCTGTAAGTACCTTATTTGTTTACACTTAACGAAAAAACACTTGAACAGAAAACATACGAAGACAGATATGACACCATATACAAGAATATATTTAATTAATTCACCAGGAACACAACAAATTTGCGCTGTGAAAAATGGTACATGGCATACAAAGAATTGTCTCTGCACTTTTGTAGACCTTTGTATAATCATATGCATCTGATAGGTTTGGCAGGTATACCCAGTTTTGAGCTGTGTACTATTAATGGTTTTTTGCACCGTTAAGGTTAACATCATCGCGAGTAACTACAATCTTAATTCACCTACATGGAGTGGTGCAAGTCTAGACCTGTTCACAGCGCTGATACACTATTTTCGGTAATGCAATAAGACTAATAAGCCAAATATTTCAACATAGAGTAACTGAGTTAGTTGATTGAATTGCTATATTTCAGGTATTTGCTTATAACAATGGGCTTAGTATATATGAAGGCACACCCTGCTTCTCGCAAGGATATTTTAAAGGACTTGGTCGAGATGTGCCGCGGAGTGCAGCATCCTTTGAGGGGTCTATTTCTTCGGAATTATCTACTTCAGTGCACACGTAATATTTTGCCGGATTCCGACGGGTAACTGAAGCCTACTGTATTTCACTACTTCGGTGTTCTTCTGCCTTTTAATTAAAATTTACAACTATCTATAGCAATAAGTAATAATAAACGACATTTTGCAAAAAGTCATAGTTTCGTCCCGTGACACAAGCTATTTGAAATCAGTTAAGCTCCAGTGAAAATATGCTTATGTTAAACTTTAAACTACTCTCTAGTTTAGCCTTTTGTACACGGTAACTTAATGAAGGTTCCTAACACAGTGCTGGTCTTTATGCGGAATTGTTTACGAGAACATTTTATCTTTTGCTCATTTTCCGAGATAATTCTTCAGATTGTTGCTAGCATAAAGGGCATTCAGAATGTATATAAGACTCAAAATGGACAATGACGGACGTCTCTCTGCTTTCTAAACAAGAGCGTTATTACGTATCTATATATCACTGTAATATACTTGAATGTACAGTTATGTTTTCGTGCAAAAGAGCCCCGCTTTCCGACGGGAATTAGTTTAACTGAAGTGTTATGATAAATTAATAGAGTTGAAATAACGGCGCTCTTCTTATTGTAGAACTAGCGAAGAACCCGAACAGCAACATAGCGCGCTCTCTCCTGACGCGAAGGATGGCTTGTTGATGTACACACGAGAAAGCGAAGTCGGCCTTCCGGGTAGTGTGCGTGACTCGGTCGATTTTGTTCTTGCGAATTTTGGGGAGATGAACAAACTCTGGGTACGGATGCAACATCAAGGCCATTCTCGAGAACGCGAGCGTCGGGAAAAGGAGCGCCAAGAATTAAAATTACTAGTCGGCACCAATTTGGTTCGGCTGTCACAGCTTGAAGCTGTTGATCTTGATCGTTATCGCAAGGTGGTATTACCAGGAATCCTGGAGCAGGTAGTGAGCTGCCGCGATGCCATTGCTCAAGAGTACTTAATGGAATGCATCATCCAAGTGTTCCCTGACGAGTTCCATTTGCAAACGCTGCAGTCGTTTTTAAAAGCTTGCGCAGAGTTACGTCAGCAGGTCAATGTAAAAACCGTCATTATCTCGCTCATTGAACGATTGGCGGCATATGCCGTTCGTACTGATGGACCTGGTATTCCAGCCGACATCGCGCTCTTTGAGATTTTCTCGCAGCAAATTACAGCTATTATACAGTCTCGGGAGGACATGCCGGCTCAGGACATCATAGCTCTTCAGGTCGCACTTGTTAATCTGGCTATCAAGTGCTACAGGGACCGAATCGACTACGTTGACCTTGTGCTCAACAAGACAGCTGAGATTTTCGGTCGCCTTGGCATTAAAGCAGTGCAAAGCGATACACCCGTCGCGAAGGAGATGTTGAAATTGCTGAAGATTCCGGTAGGTATCACAAGATATGCATCATAAGGTTTATATATGTTTGAGATACCTTCGGAACTTATTCACAAAAATTATCAGTTTCTATTGGTATAGGCTTCGCTATGTGCTCCGAAGCACACACCCTAGTGGGTCCTAGAAGTAACAAAACGGGAGATCCAGTTGTCACCACAGGCACAACAGAGACGTCCACAGCCTAGCACAGAAGTAAAGGGAGTTGCTTTAGTTCACAAATACTTACTGTCAACTCTTATGTCAATATACAAACAATTCTTACTATTAATTCAAGACTGAAGCCAAGAAGTACTATTTAAAGCTGTGATGTTAATGCGTCTGTGCTCCGGGAGCAAACAATTAACATTGTATTTCATTAACGTTTCACAGGTCGATACCTATAATGACGTGATAACGCTGCTAAAACTCGAAAATCTGGTTAACTGTCTGGACATGTTAGACGTGAAAGGCCGAAAAACCATGTCTATTCTGATAGCCAACAATGTGATTGACAATGAAACGAAGCTGTCCACTGTGGAGCAGGTGGAAACCGTTCTGTCAAAGCTACTGCAGGTCCTTATCCAAAGCGGTGATGAAAGCCTTGACTCGGTTGATATCGACGATTTCGTTGAAGAGCAAAATCTAGTAGCCCGCCTTATTAGTTTGATGCAAGCGGATAGCCCAGATGATCAGTACCTCATCCTCAATGCTGCTCGAAAGCTTCTTACAGATGGTGGAGCCGAGCGTATTCGTTACACGCTACCTACCATTGTTTTCCAGTGTATGTCTTTTATCAATCAAACGTGCATTCTATATACGTTTTTATTACGAAAAGTAGGAACAACATAGGTTTCGAAAAGCCCCAATAACCATAGCTTGTTGCGCTGCCATTATACGGCGAGACTGCTACAACACATATATACATGTTTGTGTGACGCAAACAAGGCCGTTTTTTAGACACTGAATTTTGCTAGAAAAAAATTCATATTCGCTCAGACGTACTAAAATGTATTCCTCTGCTGTTCTCGTTTTTATTTCTCAAATTCAGCTCTCCAACTAGCTAGACGCTTCTATCAAATTCGTAAAGAAGATGAAAAGTGGTCGAGAAAGGTGGCAAAAATCTTCCAGAACGTCCTTCAGACAATTGACGCCCTTACCAAGGCAGAGGGTTGCAGTGCTGAACTAACACTGCGTCTCTATCTTGAGGCGGCACTGGGAGCTGATCGGATCGCGTTTACAGACCATGACACCGTCGCATACAACTTTCTTTCTCAGGCGTTCAGTTTGCTCGAAGAAGAGGTGTCCGATTCGAAAGCACAACTGGCAGCTGTGACGCTCATCATTGGAACGTTGCAGCAAACGTCATGCTTCAACGAGGAATCGCATGCTCCGTTGCGTAATCAATGCGCACGGGTCGCTGCAAACCTACTGAAAAAACCCGACCAATGTCGCGCAGTGTCCACATGCGCCCACGTCTTCTGGTCAGGACGAACAAACGCCGGAGATGAGGTAACTCCGACATATGAAGCTTATAGATAACAGGATGTTATTTGCAACAGTTTCCATTACAGTGATTGTAGTATTGATTTAGCTTAGCAAAGGAGAGGCTAATGTCAGATGAAGCAATAGGTTAGGCTTTTCAATGATGACATTTTATAAGGTGGTTCGCTATGAAACGGGATGAACATTCATTTCATATCGCAGCATGGCGCTGTTTTATAATGGTGCGACGTTTCGCGACACTTTTTGTGTGTTCGAGATACAGTTATATTCTTTTAAATCTGAAACCGTTCACTCATCTCCTGGAATTTTAACAGGCAGGCTGCAGTAAGTCATGGAAAAGGAAAAAACTCAAACGGTTAAATTAGGTGTTCCATCTTTGAACTACAGCGGCAGAAACAGCTTGCCGTATAAACACTGTATTCGGAAAAGGATTCACTATTAAAAAATACTGGGAATTGCTACTTTGAAAAATTTTGAACCTGAGTTTTGTTCAACGAAGACAAATAGTAGAAAGTTGTAGTAAGAGTCGACCCATCAATGGTATTGGCACTCAAGTATGCGAAAAGAGCCCACTTGTTCACCTCAGTTAAATCAATCAGGCCAGAAGGTTGAGCAAACGAGTGCCGCATGATCTGAGCGAATGACAAGAATCTCACGCTTCAACAGTGACTCATTCTTGCGTTGAGTTATGATTTGTTATGAAAAATTGATGCTCCACGATTATCGCAGACAGTTACATCAGTGCGTGGATATAACTGGACTGGTAAGGCATCAGCTTAAAGGAAATGTACAGGGACGAAAATTAAGGAAGTCTGTTTGGTGGTCTAGTGTAAGTGTTATACATTACAGCTTCATGAATCACCGATTATGGCTAAAGTGTGCTGTCAACAATTTAAAGAGATATAGAGAATACTTTGCCTTAAAATTACTTAACCATAGAAAAAACAAGTACTTGCATTTAAGTTACAGTCCTTTTGTCATGAACCATGCTCGCCACTCCTTCAAATTTGCATTTTTATCGAAATACTGACGATTCTTTGAAAAGTCGAAAATTATCGAAAAGTCCCGCTTTTCCTAATTTTTCATACCCCAAACATTTCCAGTAGCGGGACGGATCAACTACCATCCAAATGGGAGCACGTTATAGATAAAAATGGTGTATACTATGATCGAAATGAAAAAACTTAGTGTCCACTACGTAACGTTTCATACTAAGAGACCTAGTATAATAACTTCATATATTGTTGCTGGTGTTTCAGTTGCGTGATGGCAAGCGCGTAGCTGAATGCCTAAAAAAAGGAGTCCGCTTCGCATCTCAGTGCATGGATAGTGGTGTACAGGCACAACTGTTTTGCGAATTGCTAAACAACTATATCTACTTCTTCGAAAAGGGAAACGTCGAACACATTCGAATCGACACACTCAATCAGTTGATTGCAAAAATACATGAGCTTCTGCAAACCGCTGATAAATGCGACGAAGTAGAGCAGATCCAAGCACATTTTGAGCGGACCCTTGAGCGGTTACAGATGAAAAGCTCTGAGCCAATTTATGAAGGGCTAACGCTTTGATATAAACATGAGAACCTTCTTATTTCGTTTCCGAAATTTTTGCATCATACAGACACACGCCTATACAAACACGGTACTGAATGGAGGTTCGTGTTAGTCTGGAAAGCTTGGTAACAACGACCAGATCTAGACTAAAGATTACAGCAGCGCTCCTGTACTCTAAACCATAAACCCATTCTTAATTGGACGAAAAAGACGCCGGGGTAATGACAAATGACGACCTAAGATAATGAAAACGATATGTAAAGTGGTTAAGTGACAAAAGTTTTAAACATTTGACAACGAAGCTACCACAGTCTTTATAAGTGACTATCGTCATTATTTTTTCAGTGCTATGATAGTAGTTTTTTTTTTTGTTTCATTAATCCTGCACATATAGTTCTCCATCAAGCTAATGATATACAATAAAGGGTTTATGTGGCTAATTGCGGCTGGAGCAGCTGTGTATTCGGAGATTTTAAGTTTACTTATTTCCATAAGTAATACCTTCATTTGGAAACAATAAAAACTATTGGGCCTTGCTGTTTTACCAGGCTTCCAATTGGGCTACTCTGCTCCAGATGATTAATGATGTTGGAGGTGTATATTTGGAATAAATGTTGATATGCTCAATAATGTACTGTATCCTTGTTATAACTTGAGGTAGATGATTATATATATTATTCTACCGCAAAAACTTCTTTAAATGAAGGAGCTTAGCTGAACAAAACACGCTGGTGCAGTAGAGTACATTTGAACAGATCACATTAAAAAAGTAAACTAATAATTTTAACTATATTTAAGAATGATTTTTGTAAATCTGGTTGAACACGACGTATAGCAGGTGATACTGAAGAAAACTACAGAAAATATAGGCACTGCATATCGACAAGGAAGGTCCCAAATTAGAATAAGGGTCTTAATTTACGCGGTAAACTGGTGAAGGTTTGGGTCGAAATTCACGATCGAAATCGTTTTCTAAGTTGCACAGAACTGCTCTTATGTTAGGAGAAAGCGCACAAAAAAACAGCTTCTCATTGACTCTGAACATTTTGTCTAGCGCCGAGCAACAGGTTCCCACATTGAGTCGATACGGGTGCCGAACTGGTCTTTCCATTTCCAAAGCAGAGAAAAGAACGGGTAGTTTTATGAGATACGCCTGAGCCTAAAGCGAAGTTTAAAGCCGAATTTCTGAAAAAAAAAAAAAAAATTATGATTTGCATTTGGTGGGTCTGGAAGAGAGAGACTGGGACGGTCAACAAGCATCTGTGTATGGCCCAGTTTCGCCGAGTGAACGAAGCTATCTAACTGAAATGGCCCGATAGGTAAAGCATCCCTCTTCACGCCATTGTTAAGTCACATACGGCAAAGATTATGAAGGCTTTTTTTTACATTCACTAGGGTTCGCTGCGACGTTGCTGGTGCTTTTATCGATCATTGGAAAATTCAATTCCGTAGAGAATCCCAAAATTTTCTTAAGCGAGTTCTCTAACGCCAGATTTAGAAAATTTAGAAATAGATAGGCGAAAACGGATAAATAAATTGATTGAGAAATAGAAAAAAGTCGCAGGAATAAGAAGAGTCGTAATAAATAAATTGGTTTTTAGAATTCGAGTGAATCTCTGCACTTCGGTTAAATGGAACGGAAATAAGTTACATTTTATCTTAATAAATATATATTTAGGATGTTCTGAGCCGAACATCAGCCGAAGTTTTGAGCGAAGTCAAAATATAGTATACCTTTGATAGCTAAAGCTCCTGAGTTTATCTTATAATGATAATTTTTTAACTTACTTAACATTAATCTCATGTTCGTAGTCCTTAGGATAATAGTAATGTTGGTTTATTTAATATATAATAGCGAAAAATTCGATGGATTGTGTTACTGGAATTGGAATGAGCACACTAAAAACATACAACTCATTAAAATAGAAACTTGACAGAACCCTACTAAATACTAGTTAATATAAAATGAGCAGGAAGTTGCCGGACACTTTCAGTATTCCCGGAATGAGTAAAAGAAAAGTGAGTTTCTGTGCATTTTTTTACTGTTATGTTACCGCAGCCCAGTATATTTAATCTGCACTGTACAGCAATGTCAATCAAACCATAGCCTTGCATAATTCAGCGTGATATTTAGCAATCACTTTTCAATAGAGTGGATTGTTTTCGGCCTTATTTTGCACATTTTGGCTTTCGTGTGGACTCGCAGGAAAAATCGAGAGGAATCAAATCAGAAGATCCGGATTTCCACTCGATGTCTCTGCTCCTTAGGGAAATCAGCCGGCCTGGAAACATGGTTTTAAAAAGAATCCTTATTTCCCGTGCTGTGTGGCATGTTTTCTTACTTGGTTGAGATTAAAAGCTTTTTCGCATCCAGTGTTTTCATTTCGAATTATAAAAAGATTCGCAACATGTCACGATAAACATCCATCGCCATTTTTGAAGAAAAAACCCAATGATACCTTTGCTCTTCAGCCGCAGTTCACGGCGATTTTTTGTGGTTGAAGCGTTTACTTGATACTTAACTTTAGGTTCTCGGAGTTCCTCATTTGTTTTATTAAGTTTTGTTCGTACAGTTTTGTTTACTGAGATCCAGCTATTTAAACAGGAAGTTAGCTTTATTGGCAAACTCTTCACTTTTATCATGCTTTTCCAAAAATAAACGCTGCTCCTAATTGCAGCTGCACCATCACTAACTGCATCCGCTACTACATTTATCGCTCAAAAGTCTGCTAGCTCTTGTGTGCTTACAAACACAAGGTATAGAGACGAAATCGGTCGGCGACTTCTTACGTACCCTATTAGCGGTCTTAGTTGTGAAATTTTCAAGGCGGGTGTATCACTCCCCTGTGCCAAGGTGCTCTAGTACATTCAGTTCAGGCTTTGTCAAAGAAAAGCGAGCAGTAGTCATATAAAAATACGCAAGATGTAAAGATACTCCGTTATATTAAGCACTTAAATAATTAATAAAAAAGTAATAATAATTCGTGGCAAACAGAAGTTGAAAAACATTGCTATCGTAAAATATTTCTAGTGAGATGGGCCCTTATTTCTTTCCCAAATGCATGAGTTGTTTTTTGGAAAAGTAGCACTTTTGGGAAAAGTGTTTTTTTTCTCTAGTTGTGTAGGTGCTGAAAGTCAGGAAACGGCTGTCGCTAATTCTTGCTGAAATAATTGTCTCGCAAGTCCTGTGTTACTCAATTTGCAGTATTGCCTATAAGGACAAGTCAAAAAACAATCTAGAATACTCGAAATTTCCCGAAATCAAATTAAACTCGAAACTCTAGGCAAAAAATCCCTACATTCATTTTACATGAGAAGCAAATTGACGCGATTTGAGTAAACAGTTTTTATCTTAGACTCGATTTTAGGTATAAATACACCTTAGATTCAGCATTATTAACATAAGCTTTCTTATCGGAACACGCGATTCGTTAGCGAGCACACCTATGTTATTTACGTACTAAATGTGTAATAGAGAACAACAAAATGTACTTTGCTTATGCACATAATAAAGTTTATTTTAAATACACTTTGCGTACATTGTGGTTATTGTTATCATCATTACTATTACCGTTGTTGTTGTTGTTGTTCATGGCGTCTCTACAGCCACTACATGCGTAACGTTGCTGTGCAGAAATCATTTCAAATGATTACAAAAATGTCTTCATTTTCTTCCGATAAAACAGAGTAGCTGCGCAGTGGTAATGTCTTAAGTGGACAAACTCCAAGCGCTACAAACAATGTTATTTCTTGAACTCTTTTTCGTAGGCCGTAAGTGTCGGCTTCGTATTCAAATTATCTCTTCCTCTCAAAGATGAGTTATAAAACACAGCGACGTTATCCAGTCTAGCATATGAGCCTACAATACCGGCCTGTTCACACGGCGATTTAAGTGGATAGATCTTTTTCTCTCATTTTTGTGGACATCATTACTAAATACTTGATCTAGTAGGGTCTTACTACAAATACTGTCTCATTTCTGTTTCTATTCTTATCCGTATAGATGCTTCCGGTGTTCCATTTCCACTATCGTCACCACGATTTTATAATACAAATCACACGAAAATGTGGACGATAACCCACAGATTCCTCCACAGCTTGCACTACCACAGTAAAAATAGAGTAAAAATATAATTTTTTTTTTTACCCTATGATAAAGATAGCAGTTTGCACTAAACGCTTGTTGCTTGTGCCTATTCCGTGCGGAAAAATGTATAAGCGCCTGATATGTTAGAGAGCTCTGAAATAAAGTTCTTTTACGCTCCTGCTCAACGTAATTAGACTTAACTGCTAGATGCAAAAGAAGAGTTAGTATTTCCACAAATAAATGATAAGTGGCTGTGTTTCAATCATCATTATATTGCTTGAAATAATGAACCATGAAAGCTTTAACCTGCCGACGATAAGTAAGATGCCTTGCCTGTGTTTTATCATACTTAATTATTAGAGCAATTAATATTGTTGTTGTCATCAATATTACTAACAAAAAATAAATTAGCATGGCCGTTAAAAGTAGTCGTTCTGTACACTCTGTTACAAGACCATGTGGTTTCGTTCGTGTCGTTTTTGTTGCCACTAATTATTAGTAGTCGTCATCAATCAAATACATTCTATTTTTAAAATTCTCGAGATATAGGTTCTTATATTTTCGAGAATCTGCGATGATGATTTGGAAAGGCGGAGACAAACAATAAAAGTCTGATAATTTTATTTTTGCATTTTTCTGTTTCCTCACCGCTTCGCCCACTAATATAGTGTCGAGTTATTCGTCGGTAGTTGTTATCCTAGAACACCATTGACTGCTAATAATGACCAAAAAATAAATTAAATTTTTACTATGAAATTATAACAATAGAGAACATCCATAGAGAAATGACAAATAAAACATCCGTACATACATTAAAAAACGTATAGGCTTATTAAAGTAATAATAATAATAATAATGTTTTGGTATGTGATCTGGCACTTGATTCAATGTCATCACCATTTATTGTTGACTTGTTTGTTAATTATCATTTGTATAAATAAGCGGAATAGTTCATTCGTCATAATAATAACATTATTATTACGTTTCATTAGCATCAATGTTAGTCTTTTTCGTATTTTAGTTATATCTAATGCTATGTCGTTATAATATCATCTCAAAATACATAGCGGTCGGCTGGACATTCAATGGCTTCATTTAGTGGTAATCCTATGAGGATGGTCAACTTTCCTGTCCGCTTACCAATCAAATCGGTTGCCAGTGGTCCCTGCGATTATTTTTGCTAGTTCATAGTCGGGAAACATCTCCGTCTACGAGCCAGCCATATTATATAATAGACAAACTGAAGAGCCACAAAGGTCTTCTTTCGTGACTTTTGAATCGTTTTTCGACGCGTCGTTTCAACATCTTCAGCTCATAGCGCCAGCATTTCACCATTATACCTTGTAGTTATCAAATCTCCATTTCCAACACTTGACATACTTAGTAGAATCCTATTGACTCAGACAAAGACCTCCGACAGGTCCGCCCTGTGCTGCTTCCTGTGTGGCTATATATATATATGTGAAGGTAAACCTACCCATTAGGCCTTTACATGTGTGCAGACTCAATCGGTTCCTCGAGAGGCAATCCAGACACTTTCCTTTTTAAGAAAAAGTGCAAAATACCTGTTGGTACAAAGAGAACATTTTGTCAATGTACGTCTCCTCTTACTAATAATGATAGACTTGACGTTTACTTTGTAAGCTACATTTAATCTCATTAGTTAATTAAAAAATTTGGATCTCACTCATTTTATTGAGAAACATTTATGCAAAAATGTAACTAACTGGCTTGGGCCATAACATCGACGGTTCCGCACGTAAGAAGGTCCTTATCGTGATTACCGGTAGTTCCTGCATTGGGTCGGATAAGCGTTGGACCAAACACTGTCGCAAGGTTGTTAATTGACATCTGCCAAACAAATAAAGTAAACGTATTCGAAACGTTATAGGTTGAATTTAATACGCGAAAAAACATCTTTTTTGATTTAGATTTTTTGGCGTATTAACCGTGGTAAAAGGCTCATCGAAGTTTTCCTCTCTAGCTTAAGTATGTATTACAAATCACCCTTTCTCAAAAATGAATTTATTATGAATTATCATAGTCACGACACAGTGCTTTATATCATAATA